TTTCAACACAAGCCATGGTCAGCGAGACATAGGTGGAAGTCTTAATGCGGTCCTTGAGACTATCACTACTGCTGCAACCTGTTGTAAACATTGTGTATTATGTCAATATTTTCATATATTTCATTTTTTTTACACAATAGCTTCTAATTTATGACTATGAATTGGTTACACAAAATCGATGAACTACACAGAAGTAAGTAACAGGAGTGATATCTTATTTTTTGCATCACTGTATTCTTGGGAGACAGTCTGTACTCCAATCGCCTGATAAATCCTCTGGCTTATGTACTCATTTACTAAAGACTTTTTTTAGAATATAAATTATTTTATTGTAGAATCATACTATAGCATAATATATTTTAGAAATTCATTTGAATTTCAGAACTGGTGTGAATCAGCCACAAAAGAATCTTTGCTACAGGAAATTCTAAGTGATCCACATTCTCCACACAAGTTCAGGGTTGAGGGAAGTCTTGCCAACTCAGCAGATTTCTCCAAAGCTTTCAATTGCCCTCCTCCTAAATCTCAGTCTTGTCACATATGGTAGAACAGATACTAAGATATGAGAACATAACTGTTATGTTGTTTTAAAAAATTAGTTTTGGAGAATTGTTATTAAATTTTTAAAAATAAAAATTGAAAAACAAATAGTTTAAAAAATAGCTGACAAACATTTCACCTCTTTAACATAGATAATTTTTTTTAATTTTTTTATTTGTAAATAATAATACATTGAAGTAAAACACATTTATAATAAATGGTGTTGGTTTTTTTTATTCCTAAGATCAGATAAATGTAATCGGCAGGAAAGTATTGCATGAAACTGTAGAATATTTCAATATGTAGACATGGACTAATGATTATGTTTTTTTGTTTTGTTTTTTTCATCAAGCCAACAGGTCTTACTGAGTTACTATTAGTTTAAGGACAGCTGTCTTATTGCTTAACTGAAGAAGTATTTTCCTATATAACTGAGCTAAATACTTAAGTAAACATACTTTCATAACACAACATGGAGCTTCAAGAATTTCGTGAGTTTATTGATATTGATAACAAAGTAAATTTTACAAAACTTTATAGGAGTACAAATACTTTCCAAATATCTTTTATACTTCAAATATATTAGGATGAAGGATATGTATCCAATCCAAGAGTTCTCATTTGGGTATACTGATGTAAAGTAATCTCACACAAAAAAGTATTTATATCTTTTCATCATTTATAACTTTATTGTACTCCGAATCAACCTGTAAATTTAATAGTATTTCATGGACACACCAAAATATTGATATATAATCTGTATTTGTGATATGTTCTAAAGGGACACTAGTCCCAGAATAATAAAAATATTCTCATTTCATTTCATTTCAAAAACATATTTCAAACATTTTTTTACTACATATAATTTTATAATTGTAAAATTAAAGGACAGATCATAGAGGAATAATATAAAATATGACCTAAGAGGAAAAATACATCTGAACCAAGACCAGGACTATTTTTTTTCTTGGAGGACAAGCTAAATTTTGCCACCCCACCTTTCATCCTTCACTCTCCCCTCTTGCCAATAGAATTAAAGTTTTATCATAGCATTTTAGATAATATATTTCGAAATAGATATATTCATCTTACGATATGAACATATTTTAATCGACTATGTTAAAGTCAAAACAGTAAAAAAAACATCTGCCAAGTAAGGTCAGTATAGCTTTCTCACCGTTTCCGTTGTATCTTACAAGGTATACAATTTTTCGTATGAGAATAAAATCTCTGAGAGAAGCATAATCGGAATAGCCAATTACAGTTACCCTTCAACAATCAACAAAAGAGTGTTGTATTTGAAGATTCCATACTTGATTATGCTTAGTAAAAAAAAACAAAGAAAAAATGTATACTGAACATGAATTTCAATACTGTTAGTGCAAAAGGTCTTATTTAAAAATTTATTTATTGTTTTACAAAAGTGCATAAAAACTCATTATATCCTTATGCTAGATTAGAATAATTTCATATTTTATTGTCATCTGCTATTTTCTATAGTAGCAGACTACAAAATGTCACCTTTAATACAGATAGAAATAAAGTTGAAAATTTTTAAATACAAACTTTTGCTCTAATAATAGTGATACACACTACCGGATCCATATTTAATTTCGGGAGAAGAGCTTCAGCCAAGAGAAAGATTTTATATATATATATATATATATATATATATATATATATATATATATATATATATATATATATATATATATATATATATATACATATAACGATAATTAATTTGAAAAAAATCCACTGCAAATTATTTCACTATGGTATATTATTTCCAAACAATTATACATATAAAGTAACATTAAATTCATAGATATAAATAAAAATAAATATAAAGTGATTTCAATTATTGGACTAAACTTTTTTTAATCATTAGTAATATGCTAAAAAAATAGCATTACTTCAGTAACACATTAAAACATCAAAACAAAAGATAAACCTTTTGCAATAGCAAATCTGAATAAAAAACTAGAGACCATATCTTTGCTCCTAATTGTCCGATTTTAACGAATTTTTTTTTTTTTTTTTTTAGGAAATTCCGTAAACTTTTAAATAACCTATACAATATTAACAAAAATGTGTATACTTCTTGAGTTATTCGGAATTTAATTTTACCATCCCTCGTAACTTTTTTTTTTAACTTCTTTTAGTTGAAGTATGTTATATAGATAAATTTAAAGGGCGTAGAGAAAATGACTTTAGCGAAGTTTCATTAAAATCGGTACATTCGTTTAGGCGCTACAGTCTATAGCAACGCAGGTTTTTCGGCCGCCATTTTGAAACTAGAAGACGAATAGTAATGTCGTTGAAGGAGGATCATCCTCGGGTGACTTCTGATTTTATATCCCAATTCGAAAAATATCGGTCCAGTAGTTTCGGAAAAAATGCGCAGACGGCGTACGTCGGACTAGTAGTGCATATATAAGAGAAAGTGGTGGACAGAATTCAATAAAATTGACACTACATTATTTTTTCACCGGTCTACCTTTTATCTAACTTTGAGCCAAATCGAATGAGCCCTTTCTGAAATATTGGCATATCTAAAAATATACGTTTGCGCGTGCGTAAGCGGAAGTGCTGGATGGAATTTGATAAAATTTATATGGGACCATCTAGACACCAATCAGCATAATCCCTGAAAATTTCATGAAGATTGGATAACCGGTACTAGGTGATATGCCCGTCACATCGATTTGACTACAGACAGACAGACACCGAACCAAATTTGATCCTTGATGTCTGAAACGTAAAACGCGAGTGAAAATTTTCGATTCTGAGCAAAAAATTTTTTTTAATCTCTAGCACGAACACAATGCTTCCCTACCTTCGGTAGTGAGGAAGAAAAAAAAATTCTAAACTAAAAATAAAATTTTGTTCGAAATTTGCCGCCTCTTACATTCTGTGCCCATGGAAAACACATCATTAGACCCCCTAGTTCCGGACCTGATCAGAATTAACAATGTGGGAGTAATTAATTATTAATTAAAATTAATTCACACACCTAATTGAAGAATTAGTACTTCTAAATGAATATTATAACTTACCTAAAATTAAACGGTTTATATATGCAACCAACCCAAAAAAATAAAAATAATGAAGAGTAAACGATATTTATATTTATGAAGTATTTAAATCAGGTGGCGGTGGGCACAGCTGATGTTAGACACCTACATATTAACGTAATCTTTACATTTTTTAAAATATTGTATTCGCCGTCAACATGAAAATAAAATGGTAAGATTTCCAAATCTAAAACCTCCGTTACAAGCTAAAACCTTGGAATTACAAGCGCCTTACCTTAACCCTTTACGACCATATTGGTCGCATTTATTGAATTATTAACAATTACAGCACATAACATTTTTTTTTTTATTAACTTGTTTATTGAAAAATATTACAATCTGTCTCAAGGAACATTTATAATATTGTTCAGAGATCACATTCACACTTTATGTACAATAAATAAAAATAAGTTATACAAACAAATAATATATTATATACCATAAATAAGAATAAAACAACCTAAAAATAAATAAAAAAGAACACATACATACCTATATACACTATTTACAATCATACGAGGGAAGTCCGAGCCAGAGTTGTCCCTCTAACTTTGGAGCAACCAATGAAGACTTGGCTTTAAAAGTAAAATTGTTAATAATCTACTAGCAACTTATAATAAATAAAGAAAATATAATAATTATTTTAAATTACAGTTTTATTGAATCTAATTAAAAAATAAAAATAAAATGTAAAATTAATTAAACTCAAATCAGGTAAATACATGTTGATAACTCAATCGTAACTTTAGTATAGTATTGAGGAAAGAGTTGGTCTGGGATGACGGTCATAAAAAACAACTTAAAATAGTGAAAAAATTAAATGATTTTTAGTCTTAAATCATCGTGATTTTTGTCTTAAAGTGTTGCTAAATGCGAGAGACGTGAATCTTGGTTACCTATAAGTATAAAAAAAAAACCAATCACTCAATTAAATAAAACAGTTTTTAGTTTTAAAATAATAGTTTTTCACTATTTTAAGTTTTTATAATACCGCCACCACGGATCATCTCTTTCTTCAAGAAATAAAGTACACCTTCAACTTATATATGCAAATCAAATTTCAATTCAATTAAAGTTTACAATAACAATTACCAGTTGATTTTTTCCTCAATATTTAAATACAAAAAATTGAGGTTAAAGTCTTTATTATAAAAAGTTTCATTTATTTATTTTGACATTATTGGTAACATTGTCATAAATCGAGTTAGAAAGGAAGTGGGTTCGAAAAGATCAAGCTCGTAACTTTTCATTGGTGTCAATCAAGTTTAAATCCTGTTTCGTATTCAGTGCAAAGAATATTTCACTAATATATTGTTGCTTAACTGCGATTATTTTAATTTAATTGAGTGGTTAGTTTATTTTTTAGACGAATAACCAAGATTCATGTCTCTCACACTTAGCGACGATTTAAATGAAGTCCTAACATCGTTTTATGAACATGCTAAGGTAGGGAAGGTTTGGGTTTCTTCATGGTTGATTTTTATATAATTATTCATCTCAGTTTTTAATTTTTAAAGGAACATACTATGCTGAAAGGAAAATTGCAGGATAGTGAAAAATTCATAGCTGTGCTCAAGTTAGAGGTAGCAGAAGCTAGGAGAGCCGAAAAACGAGCTTCTACAAATCTAAAAAGGGTCCAAGAAAATGTTCTTCAACTTCAAGGAATAATTTCAAACTTGACTGCTATTAGAGGTTGGTAATCATAAATAAACAACTAGTTCATATCAACCAATAATTAATATTTTTTTACTATAACAGAGGAAAATGAAAAACTAAGGAATGATCTGAGAAATCTAGAAATATTATTAGAAAGTGAAAAAAAGGTAAATAACAACTTCATAAAGATCTGAAATATATAATGAATTGCATTATTCTCATGTGTGCTTTGTTTTAGAATCTGACATTACACGAACAACAGTGGATTAATGATAAAGAAAATCTAGTCAAAAGTAACAAAGAAGAACTGGAAAATATGAAAAAGATACGAAATATGGAAGGTACGCATTTCTTTTACTTTTCAAACTTTATGTTTGTGTGCCACAAAAGTGTTCTAATTTTATAAATGCCGTTTAAATGTTTTCTTTGCTAAACGTTTAACTAAATTTGAAGATTTAATATTTATCTTTGATCTCCCGAAAGTCAAATATCTCAGTATTGAGAAATCGTTGAAAGTAATATTACAGATTACCGTTAGCTGGACCTCAAAAACGCTCTAAAACTACAGAATATATTTCATTATTCAGTCAGTGTCAGGAATTCATTATTCAGGAAGGAAATAGTGAATTTAGCCTCATTGTAACATAATCTCTTTTAATATTTACATGTTTTGTTTTTTTATAATTAGGTTCATTTGTTACAAAAATTGATCATATAGCAATTGGGCTCAAAGTAAGATTATTAGGATTACACAGTAGGCTGTAATTGAGGTAGTGATGGCGGTATGTATGAAAGTGAAATCAACTATTATAACTTAATAATTCGAGTGTAACAACACTACTTTTTATTATCCTTTCCTCTCTCAACGTTCCCAAGCTGTCACTATCCCTAATCAACCCTTATCTTCCTATCTTACTCTATCCTCAGAAGTGGCCCAGGGCTCTAGTATATCTCCTCTTCTTTTTAGTTCCTATATCAACGACCTCCATAAATCAATCCTTCACTGTTCCCATCACCTCTATGCCGATGATTCCCAAATTTATCTTTCCTTCCCTCCCTCAGAGTTGTATGATGTGTTTGCCAAAATCCAAGAAGATCTAAATCGGATCAGCGACTGTGTATACATCAACGGATTAAGATTAAATGCAGATAAAACGCAGGCCATTGTCATTGGTTCTAAACCCCTCCTCAAATCCAATACCAACATTCCTATTCTGTATTTAAATAACCATTCCATCACCTTCAGCTCCTCAGTTAAAAACTTGGCATTTTCATTGACCAAACTCTCTCCTGGAATCACCATATTGCCCACATTTCTCGGCGGCCAATTTATACCCTTAAACTATTCCATTGGTTCTGTCATCTCCTTGCTAAACCTACACGTAGACTCCTAGTATCCTCCCTCATCTTCCCCTACCTTGATTACGGCTGTGTGGTGTACGGCAGCCTCTCGGTGGAACTCTGGGACAGACTAAGAAGAATTATGAATAGCTTAGTAAGATTTGTTGAAGGGACACTGAGACGTTCCAATGTTTCTCACTACTATGCCCAGTTAGGTGGGCTCTTCCCCTCCTTTAGAAGACAATACTTCCTTGGCACATTCCTTTATCAAATAATCAACAACCATCGCCCGTCCTATGTATACAATTTCCTCCAATTTATATCATCTGTCCATCCCCTCTCTACAAGATCTCGATCTTCTGACCTAACCACCCCTTTTCATAGATCTGCTTCATTTCAACATTCCTATATTGTCCGCTCCTCCACCTTTTGGAATTCCATACCACTTAAAATCCGCCATGCACCATCCTTATTCACATTCAAAACCTTATTATTCCAATTCCTCTTCACAACCCAATCAGACGCTGGTTAATTATGAATGATGCAACAAGGATAATTCTTTTTTTTTATTTTATTTTATTTTTTCATACACCACTACTTTATTTTATTTTTTGTTTATTATTTGTGAACTGGAAAGATTCAGTATCACTTTTGGCATAGCACTGTGAGGTGATGCATAAAAAGAGATTGTTTGTTGTTGTTATCCGTTTTTCTTTTTTCTATCTACAGGATTGTGACGTATTTCATTTCTGACATTCCTCAATTTGTGTACATATATATCTTTCTATTTTTTTTTTATATACATGTAATTTTTTTTTTCCTTTTCTTTTTGTTATTTTTTTCAGTAAAATTATAAATATATTTAAGATTTTATTTTATTTTTTAGCAATTTACATACTATTATTTAAGTTGTTGCATATATTGTTTGAATCTTTATTGAGTTAGTTTTTGGCCAGATGTGTATTTTTTTGTAACTGTACATTATTGTTATTCTAAGGGGACATCGTCCCAGAGATTTAAGATTATTTTCTATTTAAAGATTATTTTCTATTTCTACTTCAAATCCAATTTAGGCCCGCTGAAACTTATTATATATTATATGGCGGATCTTTGGAATGAATATCAACCTTATGTATATGTGTATAAGTTGATAGAAATGACAAATCTCAACTATTCATAGTCATTAAATTAGTTGTCAAAATTTACGGTAGCTCGAGTCATCATCATATTCCCTTTATTTTGCATGACAAATTTAGTTAATGGTAAATTATATTTAACATAGTAAATATTGGTGAACCAAATCTGTGATTCAGCTCAAGAACACTTAATCGTAATCTGGAATGATAAAAAAAAAGAAAGAAAATTTTGGGAAGGAAAAAAGTGATGCAAAAACCAACAAACAAATCTCTAACAGTAGTTGTTCGCCTTTCTAGAAAATTTTAGGGAGTTTTCTTAGCTTATTCACACATATACATGCCCCTTCCACAGCTGTTTTTACATCCCTCATCTTTTATAAAAATAGAAGAAAAAAAAATTCCTGTACTACAACCCTTGAAGGGTCCTGGGTTCAGTGCTATGTTGGGATGTTCTGTTTCTTGTTCAATGGTTGTGCAAGGAGGTGATTTGACCGAGAGGTTCTCCCCTACAATTATTTAATTAATTAAGAGAACCCTCTTTGCAGAGGCTCGGTTTACACCAGGAAGGTCGATTCACAGCCGATGAAACAGTATAAATAATTTATCTGCCATCAGCCAGATTCGAACCTGGTACCTTGAGCCTTGGAAGTCAGTCCAACACACTAAGCTACCCCACTCCTGTTCTATTTATAATAATAAAAAGATATAAAATTGCAGTGTCTTGTTTCAATCACTGCATTCAGTGAAATCTGAAAATTGTGGAACTATATTTGATATAAAAATGAGTTTGTGTCATTTAAGTGTACTTACTCCTTTATTTTATTTTTTAACAATAAATAAGGTTGAAATTCACAAAAATCTTCTTAAAAGTTCATCAAAACTGTATTTTACTTTTTGTAACAAACCATCAATATTATTATTCTTATATTTTTTTTTTAACAATAAATAAGGTTGAAATTCACAAAAATCTTCTTAAAAGTTCATCAAAACTGTATTTTACTTTTTGCAACAAACCAATCAATATTATGTAAAACATTCTACAATGTTTATGAATTAATTCATTTTTGTTTTTGTGTGTTGCTGATGTTATGATTCCACATGCCAAGATTTCAATTATAGCAAGGGTTCATATGTAGTCCCTCAATTATTTTTTTGTAGACCTCATCCCAACCTTTTTTACATGAACCCAAGCATTTACATTATTTATGAGACTTCATTTTTTGTCTCATAACCTCATTTTATAGCTGTAATTTGAAAATCTGAATGAAATTTTATATTTTAGTTCCATATTTGGAATGACTTTCTTAAGATACAATAATGAATGATTAATCAATTATTTTTCAAAAATTCGTTTCAGCAATATCATTTAATCAAGAATTAAATCGCCTAAAAGAAGAAAACGAGCAGAAAATTGAAGAAATGAAAAAAGAATTTAAAAAAATAGAAAACGAATACAAGAATAATTTGTCTCGGACAGCAGAAGAGGTTATTTTTTTTTTTATTATGCCCTTAAAAGTCTTAAAATAAATAAAGTTATATGTACTTCAAGAAAAGCCGTTGATCTGCTAGCTATTTTCAATTTCTGTTTAAAACAATTGAATGGGTTATGATCAATATCTTAGACTTATGCGTTTTCTTATTCCTTAAATTATTTTTTATGATCACGTACATTTCTTTAAAGTATAATAAATTTGAAATACCTCAACATTTTTTTGATATTATATCATACAACTGTATGATATAATATTTTACTAAATCCTGATATTCCGGATAATTCTTATACCCCGGTAATTTGCACGAATTTGCTGGTTCCTAGAAACAATCCTTTTAGTTTGTATAAAAACAATGTGTTCTGGTTCCCATAGTAATTCATGTTAATTCTAGTCCTCCATGAAAAATGAAATCATCCTATAATCTGAATTTTCAACAATTAAAATCTCAATAAATCTTTTTTTTTTTTTTTTTTAAGAGAGAAAGAGATATATGAGAGAGATTCATTTATGTGAATTTCTCAGTTGTTTGAATTTTTTTTTCTATGCCGTTTCATATATGTTTGTTTCACATCAATTTTGATTTTACCTTCGAGAATGTCTTAACAAGTTTGTTCATTAAAGAAAAAAAAAAGAAAATTATTTAAGTAAAGTGTTTTAAGGCTGTTGCTTGTGTCCACTACCAGAAAAGTATTTTAAATAATATAGATCTAGGTCATACTGACATTCAACTTCAGTGAGAGATATGGTTAGTTGATAGTTTTTACAAAAACATACAATATAAAATTTATAAAACTGATGAAAGTGCGAGTGAGTTGTCAGAAGCGAAAAGATGAATTAGGAGAAGTAACCCACCAATATGAACCCTATTAACCAATGGTCCGTCCTATCCTTAGCCATAAAAACATATATATGAATACAATTTTGTTTGGTTCTGGTTAGCTTATATTGGGTTGGCAAATAAGTCCTTTCGGTTTTTCAGGTTGAAATAAAATTCAGTGTATTACAGACATAAAATTTATTTTAATCTACAATATATTTAATCGAAACATGGTCATTGACAAAACCCTAAGAGATGAAGATCATGGTGTGGCAAAATAGCATCGAAAGAAGCATTGTGAAAATAAAAAAGATAGATAAAATCAGATGCAAGAAGATAAAGGAAGAAACAGGGCTCAAAGACACACTCTTGAAAATAAGAAAAGGCAAATGGAAATGGGCTGGACATCTCCTGCGATGCATCGACAATAGATGGTCAAAAATAGTCACCGAATGGACTCTATATGACCGGAAAAGGATGAGAGATGGAGAGATCCATTTAGGCATTTGGCAGGACCTCTGGTGGAGAGCAGCTAGGGACAGAGATGGGTGGGTGCAAAGAAAATAGGTTAAAGGTCAGAAATCCCGCTTCCCAGTAGGGCTAGTCACCCAGGGAAATGTTTAAGACTATTACTCCTAAGGGAAGGCCTATGCAAGATAGTAAAAAGTTTTGTATAAATTATAATGTAAAAAAAAAAAAATTGTTTTAAAGGAAGAAGATGGTCGGGGGTTGCGGTTATAAGGAGTTTCACTTAGAACTGAATTTCAGCAGTTCTAAGTGAAACTCCTAGATGAACACACCTCCCTGATGAAGACCTGCAAAGTCGGGTCGAAACGTCGGCTTTCAATAAAATAGTTTTACCACTATTTAGCCTATTTATGACCGCAACCCCAGACCATCTTCTTCCTTTGTAATGCAACGGTCAACTATTAAATATTCAAAAATTGTTTTGTTTGCTTTTGAAATTGTAATATTAGTGCATAAATAAAGGCTATTTTCATTTCATTTCATATTTAATCAATAATTTATTGCGAGTGACCAATGAGGTGTGGTGAGGTCCAGCCCTGATTTATTTTTTATGTTAATGTTTATGGAATATTTATTGTTGTTGAAACTGCCATCGACCCTTCTTTTGTCTCAAAAAGTATGTTTTAGTTCTAAATAAAATATGTTCCCCTCTAAATGAAAAGTTATGATGTCAAGTTTTAAAACAATATGGCATTTTTGATCGTCCAATATGACATTTTTTTTATTATTGAATTTACAACTGTATTAAATGATAAATACAAGTAAATATGAAACAAGTAACATGACATGTACAACATGAAGAGAAACTACCCATTGGAAGCACCCCAATTAATATGACATTAAATGCCATCAAAAAATACTAAGGGAAGGAAATCGTGTACGTTGGTTTTGTCATTTTTTCCTCACTCTATATTTAGAAATATTCACTGTACCATGCTTTTTTTGAAGAGGAAGCAATTGGGCGAAAAGAATTTTTAGTCAGATTTTGATGTACCTAAAGCATTGTTTCCATGGTGACAGTATCTATCATGGCAGTATTGTCAAGTCCCTTGTGATAAAAAAAAAAAAAAAATTACTTGTTCTACAAATGACACTTGAATTGTGAAAGAACTTTGTAAGGGAAACATCACGTGCAATAAAGGTAGTAACATTGGGTTAGAGTGATTTTCCAAATTTTATCATGTAATCAAGGAAACTTTCGCAGGCCTTATTGGAGAATCCTGGTTTAGATCATGGTAATGATAATGATAAAGAACTGGTGAAATTCAGTTCTAAGTGAAACTCCTAGATGAACACACCTCCCTGATGAAGACCTTCAAAGTCGGGTCGAAACGTCGGCTTTCAATAAAATAGTTTTACCACTATTTAGCCTATTTATGACCGCAACCCCGGACCATCTTCTTCCTTTATAATGCAACTATTAAACTATTAAGTCAACTATTAAATATTCAAAAATTGTTTTGTTTTGTTTGCTTTTGAAATTGTAATATTAGTGCATAAATAAAGGCTATTTTCATTTCATTTCATATTTCATCAATAATTTATTGCGAGTGACCAATGAGGTGTGGGGTGTAGCGTTGTCTTGGTGGAACACAGCACCCTTCTGATTTACCAGTTTTGGGCATTTATTTTTAATTGATTGATCCAATTTTGTTAATTGTGAGCAGTATAGAGTTAAATCAATTGTTTGTCCCGATGGTAATAGCTCATAGAAAATAACAACCTTGAAATTCCACCATATGGAAAGCATTATCTTCTTTGGAAGCAATCCAGGTTTTGACATTCTTATAGGAGCCTCACTGACTAGGTCTTCAAGATTTTCTACAGACTATGTTATCATATCATAAAATATACATTTTTCATCTCCTGTTACCAACCTTTTCAAAAATGGGTCGTTTTGTTGCTGTTTTCGTAGTGAATCACAAACAGAAATGTGTGTTGCCAAGGTGACTTCGGTAGAGAGTGAGAGGCCCAAACATTAAGCCTGGAAACATAGACGAGCTTGTGCAAATGGTTTTCTACACTTATGTGCGACACATTTATGACCAGAGCAATCTCTCGCACCGATTGGGTGGAATTTCGATCAATAGTGGCCTTAACATTGCTATTTCAATTTCATGTGGGCGATCAGACCGTTGAGCATCATTGATGTCAAAATTTCCTGAATGAAATTTGGCAAACCAATTTTGACAGGTGCGTTTGGTTAAGGCATCATCCCCATAAACACTGCAAATTTTTCTATGAGCTTCTGCAGCATGCTTACCTTTTTTAAAAAAATACAACAAAATATGCCGATAATGAAGATATTCACAGTGCAAAAGAAAACACAATACTAAGCTAGTCTCAACACGAGTTAACAGTTAGTGATTTTACAAACAGGATATTACATATTACAAACAGGATAAACAATCCACCTAAGGTATTAATTCATCAGATAAGAAGTGTATCATAGTGACATAAAAATAACCAGAATACCGAAAGGACTTACTTGCCAACCCAATACTTTTTTACTCCTGATTGTTAGTATTCTCCATATTTTGAATATCAAGATTCTACAGTAGTAATCTCTTACGACATTGTTATTCAAAAAGAAATTACCCAGTGATACTAATATGAAAAATTAAAATTTATAAGTGTTTATTAAGTTAATAATTTTTTTATTTCAGTATGAAGAGAAAATCCTTAACTTAAACAGAAATTTAATAGCTGCAAATAATGAAGTAAAAAATCTGCGTCAGGTGTCCGGTCATGAAACAATTTATAATGTAAGTTTTTTTATTATTGTTGGAAAGATAGATGCATTATAACCATTAATGGGCATAATCATAATCAGGTTTCCGATTACAATTGTAATCAGGTAATCGTGTCACATTGTTGCTATATTTATAGTTCTATTGAATCAAGTATAAAATTGGCCTGGTCATTGAGTTTTATTTTTGGTTGAAATCATCGATTCCTATCTCTGATTATAATAACCAATGATTATACATTAGCATATGGAAACTATATCTCGGTTCCTAGAGTATGAGGCAAATTTTAATGATATTAATTTTATTGTTAATATCTTTCTTTCATTTTGCCTCGAGTAACATAAGTGATATTCTGTATCAGGAAAGTCTTGTCTTAAATACTTTTAACTTAATTTATTTTTACCTTATTATGTTTTTTGCTTATCATTTTAACAAATGAGGAACAAATTTATTTTCAAAAGGGCCCATATCTACTTTGGGAATTAAATCATTGACCAAAAACTAATTAAAAAAGTTATTCACATAAAATAAATGAGAGTACTAGTCAGATAATTATTTTAGATAATTGATGATAATAATTTCTTGAAGATTTCAATTCAATTTTCATCAAAAACATGAAAAAAAAATCTTGATTTATTTTATGAATTATTGAAGGCAGTTTATCGACTGTTCAACATACCATGGGTGATAAATATTCAGGACGCAGTCATTATAAAGTTGTTATTGGTGCCGACGTTTTAACCCAAACATGTTGAGTTCAGTGCTCGAAACAGGCCCTGATGACCCACATTTTGGGCTCAAACGTCTGCACCAATAAAAACTAAAATGACTGCATCCTGAATATTTATCACCCTTGATTTATTTTACATACATGTGACCTTTCGAAAATATGCTACTCAAATGTTTTAATTATTTTATTTTTATAGCTGGTTGACTTTGGTCAATCTAAAAATGATAGGATTATACAACAACCCTTGTCATTTGCAAGATATCAACCATTGCCGATCATTTCGAAGGCTTCTCAGATGTTTGCTGCTGAATCAGAGGAACTCAATAAACAGCATACGACTCCACCAAATAACCAGATAAAGATTGGTGACGCTAAAACCAACTCAGCTACAAAAAGAAGGAAACTCTACTGTCGTACTGATGACCCACTTTTATAATAAAATGATATTAAAAACTTTTGGTAATTATTTTTACTAAAACTTTTTTCCCTTCATTTAATTTTAATATTACTTTTGTATAAAATATATTTCTTTATTGTTTTTTTACTATTGGGTAGTCCGAAAATTATACAGGATTTTGGTTTAAAATGAAAAAATAAAGATTTACAACTGTTATTTAATCAAAATAGTCTCCACTACTATCCGTACATTTCTGCTATGTTGGCAACTTTTCCATTTCCTATTATTAGAACTGAGAAACTGCAAAAGCGCATTTTCTAATTCCCTTTGTCCATTAAATTTTTTGTCCACGTAAGTAGTGGTCCAAGTGTCTAAAATGATAATCCTTAGGCAAGAGGTCTGAAGAGTAGGACAGAGTTTCATATCCAAGCTCCAACAGTTTGTGTGACGTCACATGTAAGACAAGTGGCCGAGCTTTGTCATGCAACATAATGGGTCCCTGTCGATTGACCAAAGATATCTTCATTATTGCCAATTTCTGACGCATTACATTAATTTGGTTACAATAAGATTCGGTATTGATGGTTTCTCCAGGATTTAAGAAGCTATAGTGTATCAAACCAAATAAAGCCCACCAAACAGTAACCATCGCCTTTTTTTGATGAGGCAGGAACTTCAGAAAATGTTCTGCTGCTTCTCATTTGTCGAGCCACTGTCCAGACCGTCTACTGTTATCATTAAGTATCCACTTTTTTAAAACAAGTAACAATTCTGGACAGAAAAGGGTCATTTTTGTTTCGGCAAAGAAGTGTAGCACAAACTTCATAACGCTGTTTTTTTTGGCAGTTTTTTAAAGTTTTTTTTACCTTTCCACCAATCGCCTTGAGGCGGTCATCAAGGGTTGATTTGCTAAGGTTAAGTTTCTCTCCAAGTTCTTGAACAGTTGTTCTGGAGTTTTCTTCCACTAAAGCCCGCAGAACATAGACATCAAGAGAGGAAGTCCTTCCACGACCTTTGTCTTCAAGGCTGAAGTCTCCCTCACGAAATTTTTTTTTTGAACCACCATTGAACAGTACACTCAATAATGCTGCTCTCGCACCAGACTTCGGAGTTTTAAACTCATAAGACAAAATTATACGAAAATCACATGTTTACATCTTAGTAAAGAATGAATTATTTCTAAGCAGCGAAACGCTATGGAAACAAACAAACATTATTGTTTGGAAGAGGATTAATAAGAGTTGACATTCATATAAATGAATAATCCGGTAAACTTAAAACAGTTTGTTACATAGAGGGATATTAAAAGAAAACTTAAAATCCAGCATTATTTTCCGGACAACCCAATATTTTCTGATAAGTGGTCCTCTTAAATATGAAAATATTACTTATCTGCTAAATTATCATTCTTACTTTACCTTACAAAAAAGCATGCAGTTTCATCTCAGCCCTGATTTATTTTTTATGTTAATGTTTAGAGAATATTTATTGTTGTTGAAACTGCCACCAACCATTCTTTTGTCCAAAAAAGCATGTTTTAGTTCTAAATGAAATATGTTCCCCTCTAAATGAAAAGTTATGATGTCAATTTTTAAAACAATATGGAATTTTGATCGTCCAATATGACATTTATTTTATTATTTTATTTGTTATTATTGAATTTACAACTGTATTAAATAATAAATACAAGTAAATATGAAATAAGTAACATGACATGTTCAACATTAAGAGAAACTACCCATTGGTAGCACCCCAATTAATATTACATTCAATGCCATAAAAAAATACTTAGAGAAGGAAATCGTGCAGGTTGGTTTTGTAATCTTTTCCTCACTCTATATTCAGAAATACTCACTGTACCAAGCTTTTTTTGAAGAGGAAGCAATCGGACGAAAAGAATTTGTAGTCAGATTTTGATTTACTTAAAGCATTGTTTCCATGGTGACAGTTTCTGTCATGGCAGTATTGTCACGTCCCATGGGCCATGGCTTGTGATGGAACTTTGTAAGGGAAACAACTCATGCAATAAAGGTAGTAACATTGGATTAGAGTGATTTTCTAAATGTTATCATGTAATCAAGGAAACTTTTGCTGGCCTTATTGGAGAACCCTGGTTTAGATCATGGTAGAAGCTTCTGTGAATGTCATTGTGAAAAAGAAGCTTAAAGTTGTGTTTAGTGCCATCATCCTTAATAGCCACCGTTTATACACTGATTAACGATAAGATGAAGGCTACAATAGCATCTCTAAAAGAACCAGTATCTAAAAAAATTCCAGAAACTTGATTTTTAAGTATCGTAAGAAACATAAACTAAATTTCAAGTCGATTGCTACACAGATATTTAATATTCTATGACAAAAAATAAATATAGCTTTGAACTGAGTAAATTTAAAAAAAAATAAATAAAATATAGTTAAAAATAAACAATATTTTATTAATATCAATTCACATTATGTATATATATATATATATATCTATTTACAATACAAAATAATATACAATATATTGTATCTATATTACATAACAAAATATAACAACATAGATCTAAGGTTAACAAAGTTAAAATTGTACTTTCATTTGAGGAAGGCAACAGTTTTCAGTAATTAAAAGGTACGATTACAGTTGTAAATTTTTTTGTTTTGTTTTTTAGAAAATTTTAACAATTCTGTACAGCTATATTATAAATTACGAACATTTTCAAATCTAAAACAGCAAAACAAAAAAAAATATATAACTTAAAAACTATAATACTGGAGAATAAAAAACATGAGCACCTGATTAGCGGAAATTGCCTTTAGTAATTGTTATAGGCATGATAACAAGTCGAAAAATGGACTAGCTTGACTAGAACCTATTGTCTTCAACGACTGGACGAAATTCTTTTGCTGTCCTGAATTAAGCTGCAAAATTTATTAAATTCAAAAATTAATAACATGCAATAATGTAACTTAAAAATTATATAAATAATTAGACTATATTTTATTCGCTTATTTTTTTATTTATAATCTATGAGGAAGAGATGTAATGGTTCTTAGGCTTTTATAGTTGAAGGCACCTCTTTAATCGATAATTATTTGTTTATGATCCCCTAATCCGATGTTTTGAGTTTCTGATGCATCTTTCAGGACAATTTATCTGGGCAGTTGCTAAATATTATATATAATCAAAAAACCTTCCCCACAAACATCTTATTGTAATTACAATGCATGGATAAATCTTTTGTAACTAGGTTAAAAATATATTTAAAACTAAAATAAATTAAAAAAAAAATTGAGATGGAAGCTGTTCAATTATTTTGTAAAATTTATTTTAGTTTTAAACATAATTTTAACCTGACAAAATATTTGTCCTACACTCTTATGACAATGAGATGGTTGCTGAAATTTTTTGATAATAGATAACTACCAAAATAAATTGTCCTTGAAGGTGGGTCAAAAACTCCAGAAGTTGGAGTAGAGGATGATAGACCATATTGTTAATATAGCGCATTAGATTCAATATTATTATGATTTTATATTGTTTGTACTAATACTTGAACAATATAAAATATTATTTGTACCAAATACATGTTAACTGCCGAGATCAATTTCTATTTATTTCTATAACGAATAAGGAAAAAACAAAACATTACCTGTTGGTAAAAATCAACGGTGGCTAGGCACAGTATTTGTCTGTCTTCATACTCACACTGTCTCATCCTGTATTGAACGATTGGCAAACTAATATTGTATTTTAAGGCAAAATATCAATAGTAAAAATAGAAAAAGTTTGTTCTATAAATGACACTTTGATTGTGAAATGAGCTATCTACAAGAAATAATGTGAGATAAATATTATAGTAACTTCGTGTTTGAATGGTTACCAAATTTCATATTTTTACTTTCACTTACCTATATATGTAATATATAGTAAGGTAAAGTATTGCGATCGTGAAAAATTTCATTGGAAATAAGCGTTTTGAGGTTCCCTGATTCCAAATAACCAAGTCCCTCAAAATGGTCTGTGTGTGTATGTGAACAATCTAACTCAAAAACGAAAAGTTGTACGAAACTGATATTATGTATTTAACATCAACAGGGAGAAGACCTAAATGATAATAAAGACCACTTAATTATATAACATGATACACCAAGTTTAATGAAAATCATTAGAGCCATTCTGAGAAAATTGAAAAATGTGTTTCACCATTCATATAAAGTGGCACTTCTGATTAGCTGATTTTAAGGAAAAAGTTGCTGTAACACCTTAGTCATATATCTATCTTAAATACATAATATCAGTTTCATACGATTTTTCGTTTTTGAGTTAGATTGTTAACATACACACACAGAACATTTTGCAGGATTGGTTATTTCGACTCAAGGGACCTCAAAACATCTATTTCCGTTGAAAACTCAGATTCAAAAATGTTCACGATCGCAATACTTACCCTTACTATATACTACATATACAGGGGTAAGTGATAGTAAACATGACATACAAGTGGATGGATATATACTTCCAGGTTCGAATCCTGGCAGAAAAATTATTTATTCTGTTTCATTGGCTGTGAAGCGATCCTGGGTAGGGGTCGACCCTCCTGGGGCACACCCAGCCTCTATAAGGTGGGTACCTTAATTAAAATAATTGATTAAAGTGAAAAAATCGGGGGGTTCAGCGTGGTCTTGGTCAAATAACTTCCTTGCGCAACCGTAGACCAAGAAACAGTGCTTTCCCTAAATAGTACTAAACCAAAGACTCTTCATTGGTTGGAGTGGTAAAGATTTTTTTTTTTTTTATATATATACAGTCTATCTATTATATATAATTTCATCTTTAGATACAGATCTTTGAATCCAGCACTGGAAGTGAAAAATTTTCTTAATTTTTTTTTTAAATATGGAAATCAAAATTAAAAAATAAATAATATTTACACAATACTCCTTAACACAATGATAATGAGGTGAAAGAAGAGGTAGGGACTAGACTTTGGTGGCTGGAAGATGTTGAAAATGATCTTAAGAGCCTGGGTTTATATTGAACCATTTTTAATTACTAATTACAATGTAAAATGGTTATTTTCAATTTTTAAAAAACTACTTAAAGAGGAAGACATTTTGAAATTAAGTCCTGTTAGATTATTGTGATCAGGATAATTAGCTACCTGATATTGAACACTTGATTTTATATTGATTGAGAATAAGTTTAATCAAAATCAATAGAGCTATTTTTGAGAAATAAAGTGGAGATCCAATTGTAAAATGAAGATTTAAAGATAAATTATAACAGAAGAAATAATAATAAATAATTAAAAGGAAGGATACATTGCTTTGAGCCAAGGGTTTGTCGAAGCACTTATGAAAAAACAGCATAAAGACCAGGCAGCCATCATCTTTGGTATATTATGGGTCAGGTTGCCTAATGAATACACAACCCAATCTTGTAGCAACGACAACTGCTGTTCTGAACATGCTTGAGAAAATACCTAAACAAAAAAAATAATAATAGTAATTCAGAAAACTGTAGTAAAAATATTAATAGCCCTTAAGCGGTCAAGATCAGAACATTTGTGATTTTACTGCAAAATAACTAGGGTCTTTTTTACTTTAGGTACACCAGTTATTTTTAAATAAGAAAAGTATCTGTCATATTTGAATCAATGTTATTCTTCTATAATATTAACATTTGTTTACAGATTGTATTGAAACTTGTAAAAAAACTTTTATTACTTAAGATGTTTTTAATGCTTTTTTCTTTTTTTTAGTTGGGTGGCCAATAAGTTTTTATTGACTGTAGTATTCTTTCGAACAATTCCTCCTTATATCTTCTCCCCCAAACAAATTCACACAAATAAGAGTCAATATCATTCCTGCTGGTTCCACATTCAATTTTATTTCTTCTTTTTACGCTGGCCTACAGCGGCTCAATCCTCTAGGTGTGGGCTCATGTAATGGGGTCAACAAAGTTTTTAATGTGGTTCATGGGATAGTGGTTGTACCGCATACTTGGAAGCTTCTTTAGTCTCCGGTAAGACTGCCATAAGTCTGAGAATATTGTTGTACCAGGACGTAAGGAATGTTTTATAAATTCTGTAAAAGAGGCTGCTGTCCTGTCTGGCACTGCATGAAGAAACATTTCTCTTGTTTCTCTGCACACGCCTCCAAAAATCCTTTGATTTGGGTACACTCTTCCAACTTGATACTTTCTTTTGGAGAAACAACTCACATTTATTTCTACATGTAGGCCATCACTTCTTTTCAGAAAATATATCTTCATGAAGTGTCCTTTCCTACATTTTCTGCTGTGAAGTACACCATACTTGTTATTGTCGTTGTTGTTTAGGGCTTAGAGGCGTAAAACCCTGAGGTCATCAATGCCTATCTATTCTTTATTTCAATTACCTCAATACTATTTTTTTTTTTTTTGAGGGGAAAAATTCAAATTTAGATTTACTTTAACAATTAATGATTTCTTCAAGAAAATTTATCACTGACCTTTGTATTCCATACTTTTAGAATGCCGTAAATTCTATATTAGATTCATATTAAACTCAATTGTAAATAATAGAAAATGGCAGATAATCTACTCCAAATATAAAACAACAAATGATATAATAATAGATATTACTTTTCTCTAACAGATATTTTCCCTGTTTAAAAGTAACTGGCACACCTAAAGTGAAAGAGAACCATTAACTTTACTTCAGCTGACCTGGTTAGGAGTTGAATGAAAAGAAAAAAAAAAAGAAGAAGTACGATGAAATAGTAACCTGAAAGACCATAGCAGCCATGTTTGCTTTGTGCGGTTGGTTCGGTGACAAGAATTCACCGATGACTTTAGTAAGGATGTCCGAAGCAGAAAAGAAATCTGCGAGGATTCCAGGTAATACATCACAAACAATTTCAACTTCGACAGGATAACCTTTCTTTATTCTGAAATAATCATAGTTATTGGTTCAAACTGAGTCAAAAATAAAAATAATTTCTAACTTAAAACTTTAATAGATATTTTTTAATTCTCTTATATAGTTCCAAAACTTTTTAGCAGTCGAAATCCACCTAAGTTTTTATAGTGCACTTAAATAAGAGGAAACAAGAATTAAAACATTTAATTAAATTCATAAAAACATTTCAGTAAATTTATGTACTTGTTCAAATAAACATTACCATTACCTCCCCTCAGAAGGAACTATTTTAAAAACTATAAAAAGAGCCCTACAACTCATGAAGGTTTTTCGGGTACAGTAGTTTTTAAGACTTCTTAAAAGGCAAATCAAAATTAATGCACTTTTTTTTGTTTTTTTTAGTATAATTGATTATGGTGAGTTGATTGTTATGAAGTTAAGGCGTAAAACTTGTTCGTTACCAATACCATTAATTATGTTTTTCTTAACAATTATGCCTGATGGTTGTGCATAATAAAAATAAAATAAATCCAAAACATATAAAAGGTTAGATTAAAAAGAAATGAGAAAGGGTTTCAGATATTTTTCAAACTAGTTTATGCAGTATTTTTATATTAGTAAGTACCACTTAATTCAAGATTTTTTCCTTGTTTAAAAAAAAATGTTTATAAATATTAAATTTAGGTACATTTAAAATAAAGATTAAATTAAGATATTATTAAAATTTAATTTAATTTTAATAATTGATTATATTTTCTCACATAAATTTAGGATATTCTTCAGTTAATCGGATGCATTAGGTCATTAAAAAAAAAAAAAAAAACTACCACTAACAACCCATGAAGGGTTCTTGGATTCAGTACAATGTGAGGAAGTACTGTTTACAAGGCCAATGGTTGTGCAGAGAGGTGATGGGCCAATATCATGCTCAACCGCCAGGTTTTCCTCCTTAATTAATTATTTAATTAAGGGTGCTCACTTTATAGAGGCTGGATTAGCCCCAGGAGGGTTTGCTGAACCCAGTGTCGACCCACAGCTGATGAAAAATTACTAGACATCAGGGATTTTGAGCTCTGGTAGTCAGTGCTCACCCACAGAGCTACCCCGTTTCCTTAAGGTCATAATAAAAGTTAAATAATATCAGCCAAAGTATTTACCCTTTGGGTGTTCCTTAAGCAAAGTTTATGCCCAGTGGTTTAGGAATCTCTGTATTAACATAGATATATTAATTCAAATTTTCAAGTGGAAAAAAAAAAAATCACCTATCGAATAAAATGGTAACTTTCTCCATTAGTTCAATCTGCTGATTGTCATCATTATCATCACCACTACTTTTGTTTCCATCTGAAAATCATAAGAAAAATTAATTTAAATATTAAATTATAGCAAAATATATAGTAAGCCATGCAATGCAATGTTATTTAACTGACATTGTTAGAAGATGAAAGTTGCTCAATGTTTCAACTTCTAATTGCTGAAGAGATCGAATTTCCTAATGGGTTTCTTATGTGATTGAGGACTTACCAAGTGGGAGTCTATAGTTAGTGAAGGTTAATTGACAAATTCATAAATTTACCAACATAAATATTCTCAATAACCTTAGGTTATTATTGGATAAATTCTAAACTACACAGCCTTATGTCTCCATCCAAAATACGGGCAAAGAAAAAATTCGCCAACGTTTCACCAATTCAGACATCCATACTCTTACATAATATATATATATATATATATATATATATATATATATATATATATATATATATATATAGACAATACGTTACAAATAAAATATATTACATTTATTGCTAAAAAATAAACACTATGGAAACAAAAAACAACAATAATATTTACAATAAAATATTGACTATTATTAGAGAATAATATGTTTCATTCTCTTATTTTCATATTTGGGTGTTGATGTTTTTGTATAATTTCCTATTTCAGCTATTAAGGGATTTTTGAGATTGAAGGAAGGCTAGTGTTGTTTTGTAAATGTAATCTTATATGTAGGGCATATCTAATCCTGAACGCTATAAATGTTTTAATTCTAAGGTATTAGTTTTGAAAAAATTGTATTTTTTTAATGTTAGTTTTATTCAGATGAATATTAAAATTGGTTTTATTAGAGATTTATACAGAATTAATTTGTTTTTGGGTGAAAGTTTTGATTTTTTCTTGAAATATGGAAACATTTTATACATTATTTTTTGGCCTTTTTCTAATTTTGAATTGATGTGCTAATTAACTAGGAGTTTATTATCGATTGTTACGCCTAAGTATTTAACTGACTTCGCAAGAGGAATTGTAGTGATTTAAGATTATGTTCAGCAGGATTATAGGACGTCGTTTTATAAATATAATGGCTTCAGTTTTGTCTATGTTGAGTTTTAATCACAATTTTTTGATGTTTTATAGAAAGAATCAGTTAGTCTATTGATAATGGTATCTATACAGTATGAGGACGAGAATAATGCTGTATCATCGGCAAATAGCGTTATATTAACATTTTTTATTTTAGGGAAGTCATTAATGAATAAATTAAATAATAGTGAACTAAGGCAAGATCCTTGAGGGGGGTCAGTAACAGTATTTTAAATTGCAGAAGAAATATTATTAGCTGAGGCAAAGAAAGATATATTAGATAAAAATGACTTTATCAATAATATTAGATATCAGGAGATATTGAGATTTATTAACTTAAAAAGTAATGGATTAGTTGCTACAGTGTCGAATGCTTTTTCATTAGATGAGGATCACACTTGTACGCTTTTTTTTTTTATCGAAATTTTCTGTTATATTATCTATAACATAACAGCTAGTTGGCTGGAGGTTGATTTAGAATTTGTAAGTATCTAGGATTTGCCTAGGCTAGACCAGTTGTTCCTAATCCTGTGTCAATGGGCACCATTTTGCCTCTGTGATGTCATATATTCCTTTCTTGTATAACCTGTGCCAGTGATCACCATGGCCAACCAGTAACTTCATTGTATTGCCTGTTGTTTAACAATTTTTCAATGAAAAATTAAGTAATTGTTAGCTGAAAAATCTGATAATTAACTGGGGAAAAAATCATATTTCTTTGAAAGTAGTTTTATTATTTTAATTATTGTTTGAATTATTTATTTATATACTTACTAGCATAAATACAAGCTAAAAGTAGTTGAAACGCAGGAATTGTTACTTTCGGATCGGATTTCGAATATCGATTCAGAGCTAATCTTGTAATTTGCTCATTGAAAGTTCCATCACCTAATAACACAAGCCTTTCAAAACCCTGAAAGAGTAATAGTTAAAATAAGTATAATAAAACATTTTCAAAATTAGAACTATAAAATAAGTATATTTCTTTGCCTGCAGAATAGTCTGGTATAATGTGTTATCGATTGTAGTTTTTGCTAAGTCAATCAAGAGTTTTATCAACTCCTGTTTGTCCGCTACTTCTTCAGGATAATATTCCAGAATGTAAAAGATTAATGCGATAAGGAGTAAAGACATATTTTCATTCCTAAAATAAAAGTGATTATACATTAAAAAAATTAAAAAGTTATACATTTAAAATAAAATAAATCACTGAAAAGCATGCTTACAGATCTAATTCACTGTTGAATTTTTTCTGAATGAACTCTATGCTATATTGGAGTATCCTCTGGCGGAACTCTTGTGGTCTTAGTTTTGGCATTTCAATGTTGTCGACAGGTTTCTACAAATGTAAAGAAAAACATTTTTGTTTCTTCAAAATTGAAAGAAATTTTATGAAGAAGTGAGTTTTATAAAAAAAATATAAACTTCGCTAAATAATTATTTCCGAAAGGTGCATTACTCAAATTAAAGGAAAGTGGGGTGATACGAAACAGTGGTGAAAAGTTAATTATAAATAATTTTGTTTTTGAAATTCTTTTTTCCTGTTCAATATATTGCCCATATTTGCAAATTTTCGCAATTTTTTTCTTCAGTTTTCACAATTTTTCCCATTTTATGAAATTTCCTGTTTTCACAATTTCTCCCATTCTTTTTATTTATTTTTTTCTAAATTTTTCTGCTTTCACAATTTTTTCCATTTTTTTTAATTTCTTCTGTTTTCAAGATATCTCTAATTTTCCTGTTTTCACACTTTTCTCATTTTTGAAACTTTTCCATATTCACAATTCTTTCCATTTCCACATGATTATTATTTATCTGTATTAATATCTGTATATATATATCTATTTTACTAATATAAACTAACATTCGGTGTATTAATATATAAGTTCATCTATTGTCCTAAGAATTAAAGAGTATGCTGTGTATATAGCAACCCAATATAATTGGGCAGCAATCTTTTATATTTTATATTTTTATGAAAATAAACTGTTTCTCTCTCTTATCTTATTTTATTATTTAAAATTTTTTTTTTTTATTTGTAATCGCCTCTACCCTAGAGGGTCATTGGCGGCTAGTTTTCTATATTCTATTGTAGTATTTTGTCTCTATTAAGTATTGCAATAGGGTGGCTACTCCATCTTCGTTGTCTCTCAGTATCTCTTTTATTGTTGTTGGTAGTTTCAATTTTTGCCGAACGTTGTTGAACTCGTTGCACTCTACTAACAGGTGTTTTACTGACTGCGGTTTATTGTCACACATTTCGCATGTGGGTGCTTCTAGTCCTCTGAGAAGGTACCCGTGGGTAAACAGGCAGTGACCAATTCTTATTCTACACAATATGGTTTCTTCTCTTCTGGATATTCTGTTGCTAGTAGCCCACTTGTTGCAGTCTGTTTTTATTTCTAATAATTTTGATTTTTCACTTTTCCATCTATTTACCCAATTTTCCAACTTCTTTTTTGATGCATGTACCCAATCCTCCACTGTGGTACAATTTATTGAAATTATGGCTGGTGCTTCTCCCTTCCTTGCTAAGTTAGCTGCTCGGTCTGCTCTTTCATTGCCTGTGATGCCACTATGAGATGGAACCCAGACAAATATCACTCTGACCGTTCTTTCTTTTAATTCCCACCATAGATACAATATATCTCTTAATATATTATTGAATTGTCTGGTCATGAGTTTCTTATTGCTGTCCTGACGCTTTTGAAGTCTGATGCTATCATCCATTGATTGTCATTAGAATTTAATATCCAATGGAGGGCCTCCATGATAGCAGTAGCTTCTCCAGTAAATATGGAGCTCTCTCCAGGTAAGCTAAACAGAAGTTGGTGTTGGTTTTTATTATTATATATAGCGCAGCCAACACTATTTTCCATTTTGGAGGCATCTAATAATTCAAAAAAGTAGTTTTGGATATCCAGTGGGTATTCTTTGTTACTTCTTGTCATTGATACATCTATAGTCGGTCTACTGTTCTTCCAGTTAGGGATTTTGAGGTTAGGGATGGGTCTAATTGTGTTTAAATCAATGTTCACATTATATAGCGTTTTATAAATCATTTGTTTAAATGTGCTTTCCTCTATCTTTTTAAGCCTTCGTCTACCAGATCCTTCATCAAATAGTTTTGAACTCAAGGGGTGTTGTCGACATGCTTTTAATTTGGATACATATTTTATAGATGAATATATTCGTCTTATCTCTAATGAGGGTTCTCCAGATTCGGCATATATAATTTCGACTGGAGAAGTTCGGAAAGCTCCTGTGCAGATTCTAAGCGCCGAATTGTGGATGGAATCAAGTATTTTTAGCAACGTTTTGCGACATGTTTCATATATTCGGGCTCCATATTCAATTTTACTTCGAATCACACTATGGTATATTTGGATGAGTGTCTTTCTATCGGCTCCCCAGCTTAAATGGGCAATGCATATCAGAAGTCCAAATCTTCTTGTACATTCGTCTTTTAAATGTTTTATATGGTGAACCCAAGTCAGTTTCTTATCAAGTATCATTCCCAAGTATTTATAGTTTTCTACATTCTCTACATTTAACGGGGATTTGAATAGCTGATGTGATTCCGTTGATTGATATTTAAATTTATATTATAAAAAAATAATATTTCTGAAGTTCTTTCTTAAATATTCCATTATTGTGCCACTGGGGTGTTATCACCCATCCAGCGTTTTAGTTTTAGAAACTGCAGTAATATCAGCATTTATGTTAAAAAAAACATGAAGCCTTAAAAGCTAACAGGAATAGAGTTAATTTCTTTCTATCTTAGATACACAATATTACTCCACCTTCCTCTATGGTAATTTTTTATTTATTACATATCTGAATCATTAATTTATTTTAAACAGAAGAAATATTATTAATTATTAAAAAAATGTTCTTACTTCAATATTTTTAACACCTTGCAAAAGGTAGAGAAGCCCATGAAGACCTGCTTCAGCCAACGGTAGAGACTGACTCTTCAGTGCTGATTCAATAATCTTCAATATCTTATCACTAACCTCCCCATCCTAAAATAATGAATAAAATCTTATCAATCTACAAAATGAATAATGAATTATTAAAAAAAAAAATCACATTTGATTTTCAGCACTTACGAAAAAACTAAGGACAGCGCAGGACTTTGCGATTCCGATCACCAGATACTGAAGGATGATCTCATCCTGAACAGATTGGTTTTTCGCTAACTCGAGGAAAGTTTCTAACATCCATTCGAAATGACTCCTTTCAGTAAACATGTCCGAAATGCAGAGAACAGCTTTTATCATAGAAAACTGTAGATTTAGTGAAATTTCAATCTAAAAAGCCAATAACAAATATTAGACAAGTAGCAAGAGAAGATTCGTGCTGTTGTTAATAAAAGGTACTAGATAATAAGAAAGAGCAGAGGGTTAATATATGGTGCATCCATATAAGTTCACTAATGTGAAACATAGTTTTGTAAATCTTGTAAGAGAATTACCATATAATGCTCAATGACCTAAGATTTTATCAATTTGGTGTGAACCAAGAGTAAGCGTAAATTCTTAAGCAAATAGTGTATTAAATTGCACAAGTCTTTTAATATATATAATGCAGTTTCTATATACAAACATTTTTGGTAAGTATGTAGAAATTTCAAATTAAATATGCATAAATGCACTTACTATATAAATTAGTATTTTTTAAGTAATATGCAAATTACTTATTACTAGATTATAATAAAAATATTTAGCAGTATAACTTACACCAGGGAGAATCCATTGCGGAAATAAATCCAGAATAAATTGAATACACGAACGGATATCAATTCCATATTTAGTCAAATATTTCCGATAGCCACTATCAATGTTCAGAGAATCTAAGAACAACTTTTTATTAAAATATGACTTAAATGACAATTTAACTTTTTTTAAACTTCAAAATTTAAATCCATACCATTTTCTACACTTCCTTCTTCACCATATTTTATCTGAGCTTCCAAATAAGGCACTGAAAATTGTGCAAATCCATACCTGAAAGTAAAAATGTATACAAAATCGTGTTAGTTTTACAAACATACATAATTTTTATAAAATATGTTAATATAAAAACAAATTAAACCTATTTAAATTATTTGCCCTCTCCAAATTCGGCCTTTCATCTATTCTTAAAAGGTCTATTCCATCATTTCCAGAAATATTTTTTAACTTTTTACAAAGAAGATCATTCATTTTCGAGAGTCTTTTCCAACGCCTAAAAAAAATTAAAAAATATGTCTTAGTTTGAATTATTGAAGGAAGTTAATCGACTGTTCTATATATGGTTGATAAATAATTAGGATGCATTCATTATATTATAATGTTTTTATTGGTGCTGACGATTCAACCCAAACATGTGGGGCATCATCAGGACGTGTTTCGAATACAGATGATGACCCACATGTTTGGGTTGAAACGTCAGCACCAATAAAAACTTTATAATGACTGGGTCCTGAATATTTATCACCCATGTCTTAATTTACAGTTAAATTTCAAAGAATAATAATAGTGCTGAAATGTAAATATATGCAACATATAAATGTATATACTCATTATATATAAATTACTTAAAAAGAATGAGGGTTGTAAAGGGAACTAAAAGAAAAAAATTATTAGTGACAGTTAAGTGAATCATCTTGTCAGTTATTTTTCAATTTAGTGAGTCTTTTGATCAAATGTTTTAGAAAATGCATAATTTTTAATTTATTTAATATTTTGTTAATTATTATTGGTGGACATGAAGCTTTCTATTTTGAAAAGCTGATCTGGCTTGATTTATTGGTATCTATTTTAATTTTGTATCAGTACAGCTACTTATCAAGATTAAAGAGATGATTTTGAAAGGGTGATAGATAGATTTTTGTTTAGAAGAATTACTTACTTGAGGGTATATAATCTTTCATTACTATGCCTAGGAACATGGAGGTACTTGGTGTCGTCGACTGAATGAGAATGCTCGCTCAATGTACTAATTGCAAGCCAGGTTATCCCATCAATGGCGAGGCTTTTAGCCTATCAAAAATAAGTGTTAAATTAATATAAGTTTAAATAATTTATATTGGGGAGAGGAAAAAGTAGTTTAGTTTTTTTTTCAAAGCGAATTTATTTATATAAATTTCAAACACTAACAATAATATATGTGCCGTTTTAATTGACGACCTTTTGCCACTTTTCTGGTAAAATCATAAGTCTGTCACTGTAGAAGTTCTGACATTTCTGGGCAAAAAACTGAACCAAATGATTTTCACAATTCTCTTTTGATGCCAGCTTTATACCATTAAGAGAGTTCTCAGGGACCAAGACAAATGGTAGTCAGACGGGGTAAGGTCCCCAGCCACACTCTCTCAATTTTTGTTGGGTTTTAAAAGATGTGTGTGGTGTAGAATTATCATCTCGGAAAACAACACCTTTCCCTATTGATCAATTCTGACCGGTTTCCTTGAAATGCCTGCTTTAATCGTATTAGTTGTTCACAGTAGAGTTGAATTAATGGTTTGGTGAGGTTCGACCAGCTCATGATAAACAATTCCTTTCCAATCCTACCGAACACTCAGCATCCCCTTTCATGGTGACAATCCGGAATTTTCCACAGTTTGTGAAGCTTCTCTGGGCTTTGACCACAATCTTTTTCACAAATGTGTGTTTATTGGTATTGATAGGTATATAGACAATAATGATTGTCGTACGTGATCCACTTTTCATCACACGTAATCACTTTGTTTCAAAAATGGCTCCACTTCATTTAGTATTAGCAGCGATTCACAAATGGAAATTTGTTAAATTTAATTTTTCACTCCTAATTCATGTGGAACCCAAGTATCGAGATCCTTTGGTATCCAGCCTTATGTAAACAGTTCAAAACTGTTATCTGATCGATATTTAGTTCCATAGCAATGTTGCAAGATGAAATATGTCTATCTAACCAGATTACTTGAAGAATTTCATTGATGGTTGGTGAGGGGAAGGTTATCTTTAACATCAAAATTTCTGGAACAAACCTCCATATTTAAAGCACAATAACTGTTGACTGAGTAAATGAATGATGCTATTTTTATAAATAAAATGTTCTATGGACTGTGACCTTTCAAATGCACTACAGAATGGCTTCAGTGAGTAAGGATTGCATGAAATAAAAGACTTTAAAGTCAGCTATTGTTTTAAAACAAAATTACTTTTTCATCAACCCAATATTATTAATAGAAAATACTCCGTGCCAAAATATACCTGCATCATCGCATCTATTTCCTCTTGATCGATATCTTCAAAATCTGGATTGGGAGTTAAAGCACCAAGAAGGCAAACCCAAGACTCTTCAAACTGAAATTTTCCTCTCCAACCCAAAAATCGAATCCTTGAAAAAGATTATTAATAGTGATAAAATATTTTAGAAAAACAAACAATAATATCTAGCAACAATAACTTTATGATTAACTAACTTATTTATGGAATATACAGATAATTTAGAAATCTAGTAGCTTTCCACAGGACAAAAATAAAATTAATTTAAATATACCTTGACACTATTTGACTTAAAATGTCTGTATCATGCAGTAACATTGGTGGAAGTGTAGGAGGTGTTGGGCAGTCTAACGGAGGGCGCCATGCCTCAACGGGTATTCTACACAACCAATTCAATTTGGCTTCTCGTCCAAGTGATATTATTATTGATCTAACAAAATAAAAATAAAATTATTTTTTATGCACATAGAAAATTTTTCAGTTTATCAATTATTAGTTTAAACAATAACAAACCTTGCATTCTTAAATATGCACCATGGGATGTTCGGAGGATTTTTTTCTATTAACGTTATCATTGAAACCATTTGAATAGCAGTTTTTGCTATTGCTGGTACATCTTCACTCAAATTACCATCTTAAACAAACAAAATATATTTACAAATATAGCAATACCAATTATCTATTTTGATTGTATACATTAGAAGATTACAATTACATCTTTCAGTATATGTATATATTTGTTAGTAATATAGGAGATTTAATAAACAACATTTGCAGAACAGCGACAGGATAACTCATCTTATAGTGAATATTTAAGATTTCTGTTAATAATAAAATTGTGAAAATTACTCCATAACTTGGGTGCAAAATGTTCAACACTAAAGAAAACGAAACACTTCATCATATATTATTTAAATGCCCAATTTACAGTAGTTTAAGGTTAAGAATTTACCAGGATATGGGATAGACATATTTAAGCCAAATACAGCTGAAGATATGAGAAAATTAAATTTTTTAATTTCAAATATATCAAATTATAGAGAATTGATAGGGTAATCTCAATTATTGTCCTCTGCATTTTATGGTAAAAATTCCATATTGCACATCGCCATGTGAGTCTTTTTCTTGGTTGTTCTCTTAAGTATATAGATAGATAGATAGATAGATAGTTTATTTTATTTGTCTAAGGAAATTCCTGTACAAATAAATATAATGGTATAATTAACAATGTTAGATCTTGAGTCTAGTACTGCATTCAAACATAACATTAACAATGTCCACAGCATTAAGTATGACTAATATAATAACGATATATATATATATACATAACAATTAGTAAAACATTTTTTATTTTATTTTATTTATTTATTTATTTTTTTAAATATTCGAGAGGTATAAGACAAATGACAATATAAATAAGCATTAATATATGTTATATGATTAACTTTACCACTTAACAGTTCAATGAACAGCCCTGTATGAAATAATACAGTTGGTTTATTTTTTTCGTAGTGTCTATTTTCAGTATCTCCTCCACACTAGCATCTTCTCTGGATTCAGAGATAAATGCCTTCAAGTACTTATTTCTTGGCTCATTGAAGTTGATATATTGGATCAGAAAATGAGTTACCGGATCAGTTACAAGGCAGTTGCATGCACCACATACCTCACTGGATTTAATAGTCAAAGTAGCATCTTTTAAGTATATTTTCATAAAATCTTTACTTGCTACTCTGAGACAACTAACGGCTCTTAATTTGTTTAAATTCAGAGCCATGAACGGAAGATAATCCTCTGGTTTAGTAACATTAAAGGAGCAGATTTTTCTATATCTTGGGTTTGATTTAGAGTTTAACAATCTGTCGATGTTCTTGGATGAGTGATGGTTTCTTATTTTTTCCATGATTTCATCTTTGAACCTCATCAGACTTGAGAGAAAACACAAGAAAACATCCCCTGACATCCCAGTTCCGCCACAATCATCTTTACTTGGGTAACCCAGTTATAAGTTGGATCAGGTTTTCCAATGGATGAGTCTAGAGCTCTAAGCCTATTAAAGCATTGTCTAGGTAGTCTTTCGTCACTCACAAAGCTTAGCTTTGTCCAATAGTTGATCACTTTTTTCAACACTTCAACACTTAATGGAGATCTTCCACTTTCAAGGCGAGCCACAAGGGTACACCCAGATATGTATAGTTTCTGGTATACTCCAAACTTGTGTCTCGCCAAGCCAAAGTCTTAAGTTTCTTCATCCTTGGAGATTTATGGAACACCAACACCTTAGACTTAGATGGATTTAGGGTCAAAGATTTGCTTTTACACTATTCACTCAGTATATTGATGTTTCTTTGTGCACCATGCCACGAATTACTGAGGAGCACAATATCATCCGCTAACAGAAGCATAACTACTTCATGGTCGTGGTCTATACAAATACCAACAGCTCCTCGGTCACGGAAGTACTCAACTATATCCGACACAAACAGGATAAACAATGCAGGACTAAGACTGTCCCCCTGAAGTAGGCCCAGACTGATACAAATCTCTTCTGACAGCTCATGTTTCAACTTTATTCGTATCGATGAAGCATCATATAGTTTCTTGAGAAGCCTAATTAGTTTTCCCCCCATTCCAAGAGAAAAAAGCCTTTCCCACAACAAATTTTGGTTGATAGAGTCGAAGGCCTTCCTAAGGTCGACAAACATTGCGTAAACATAGCTGCCCTTTGACCTCAAATTAATATTGACAACTGACATCAATGTGAATATGTGATCAATGCATCCCCTGCCCGTTCTAAAACCAGCCTGTTCCTCCGGTATCAATTTTTCTAATTCAGCCCATTTCATGATTCTGTTCCTTAGAATGCTGGTGAATAACTTTGCTAGAGTATTAAGTAAGGATATGCCTCTGTCTCTTAGGTATATGTAATCTTTTAATTTAATTTTAAAACATAGTTTAATATTAATATTTAAAAAAAAAATGCATTTATTGTTATTGCATGTATATTGTTGACGATTTTAGATTTTATATTAATTTGATAATTGGAACTATTTTATTTGTCTGATTTTCACCGAACATGATTTTTAATTTATCCTTTTAAGAGTGTTGTTATATCTGCTATATAGTATAAAAAGGAATGAATTTGTATTTCCATAAGGATTTTAATATTCGTTATTTTGTGATAGACTTCATTTGTATAGTATCATTCCCTTGAAACAAATAAAGATTAAATAAATTTTTAAAAAATATAGGAGATTTAAGGAAATAAAATGCTAGTTTCAACTCAGCAATTCATTCGTGCACTGCCAACTGATTGTGGTTGAGTTATATTTTATATTTTTAGCAATAAAAATGTTTGTATTGTTATTGGTTTCATTAATCTAATATACAAAAATGAAAATTCAAATAAAAAAATAAAATAAATACATAAAATTGGTGATATTAATATTAATATAGGAATATTAATTTCAGATTGATGATAAAAACAGGTTTTTAAAAAATTGTTATAAAAAAAAATCATAAATAAGTAGTTATTTAAAAAAAAACTAGGAATCCAAAAATTCAAACAAACAAAAATTGATAAATTATCCTATATAAATGTAGGTATATTTATTATATATTTAGATTATTAAATTAATATGAAATATCTTATTACCATTTGTTGGAGGGACATGTTCTTTCAGAACTATATCTTCGCCTAATATAAACTGGAAGATATTCAATAAAGCACAGCAAATGGAAGATATCTGTTCAAGCGATAGCGAAGCTGACAGAACATCTGTCTTGAAAATGTAAGACGAACATTTTAAAAGTGCCTGCAACTTGCTCGGACAATGTTTGATGTTTTTCTTTTTTTCTTCAATTAAAATCCAATTTATCACCTTAAAAAAATTAATATATATATGTTTTTAATGAGAACAAGATTAACAAACAAATTTAAATAATTTGTGATAATTACTTCAATACAGAGAACACCAAATCTTGATAAACTTGCGATGTCATCTTTACCAAATAAGTTTCCAAAATCAACTGAAATTTCCTTTGAATTGAATAATAAATTTGTAACAGCGGGTACTAGAGAGTAGAAAGTTTTCATAGATTTCTCAGACTGTAAGAACTTGAAAAGATCGTGGTTGGGTGTTTTTTCGGGATCAAATACCTGTAAATTTTTTTTAAATATATTTATTTTTCATTATCACAAGGACAAACAAAAATATTAAAACTATATGATTACTTGATAGCTGGATGGAAGAGTCTGGCAAATGTTTCTTATCAGTTTGAGTAGAATTTTCTTAGCAGTATTATGCAAAGGACTTGACTGAAGCACGGATCCAAATTCATCTGAAACCTATCTTTTTATATGTTATATTGGCTTTCTTAAGGTTTGAAAATAAACGACATAATATATCAATAACCTGGTCCGATGGAGTGGAGCCAGAAGAGAAACAATGTTTAAGGATGTCCATATTGAATTCATTTAAAGACATGACTTTTTCTAAATCATTCGATTCCAATTTACTTAATAAGTAAGCACATCTATGAGTGTCTCCTTCCAATGGACTACAGCATCTAGTGATAACAAATTTATATTATACATTATCTGTAACCAACATTTTTTTTTCTTTTATAAAATAACAAATACCTGAAATCTTACATACTTTTCTTTAACTAGATTGAAAAACCATGACTTATCTAACTTTATAGATTTAATCAGTTCCGGAGATATAGCCTGAACAGAATCATCGGACTCGGTAAGAGAAATATTGTAGCATTGCTTTCCAAGTTTATTTAATAAGCTAATCAAACCACTATGCCTGTAAATTAAAAAAACATAACTCTATAAATATCATAAATGAGTACAATTTATCAATTAAAAATCTTCATTTTTTTCAATATGACTTTTCCACACCATTAGGACTTTTGTTTCATAAATATCATGTATATTGTAATATATTTTAATAAATCCTTTCCGCTCTTTGAAAACTGTTTAAAAAAAACATTCTATCTAGTAATAAACAAGAGAAACATGCTGGGATACTACATCATCAACACATGGGTAATGTATAACGAGAATAAAAAACGGCTCAGCAAGAGAGTACAGCGAACTATTTATTACATTTGATATACAGATTTACTATTACTTCTTATAATTTATTTCTTTAGGATTACTACTGAAGTATTCAAATACTTTATTATATTTTTATATAAAAATTGATACTTTATAATACCTTGATACTTTGATATACTTTATAATACTTTGATTCTTTATAATATTGGTTTTTATAAAAGTTTTCATGATGAAAACATTTCTTGAAACGTCAACATTTCTTGAAACGTCATATTGAAAAAATAAAATAATTAAAGGAAGTTAAATTGATTTATTAAAAATTGAAACTTCTTAATCTAATTAAACTTAAAAAATAAACTGGTTTTTTTTTTCGAATGTTCTTTATTCTAAAAACTCTTCACCTCAACCAATCTTGTTTTTTTCACCAAGCAGAAATTATTTATCATAGAAAATTTACAAACTGGACTTAGATGACATTTAAAACAATCACATAAAAATAATTTATATAAAAAAAAATATTTTTAATTACCTCTTACAGAGTTTTTGGTGGCTCGATAAACTCTGAAAAATGAATTTCAACTCGTCTTCTGTTAACTGATCTTTCAAAGTAGTTACATTTGATAGAGTTAAAATCAACTCGATGGTTCTGAAAACAAATAATTATAGTTACTGATGAATAAAAATTATATTATGTATTAAATAACCAAAAATAGTTATGAATTTTTTCAATAAAAATGAAATAGTTATTACCTAGAACAAAAGGCTGCAGCTAATCTTGCAATAGCAATATTTTTATATTTGATTAAAGAAAGAGAGACCAGTTTTAAAACTGCACCAGAATAAACTGGATTAATGTACTCCAATGTATGCAATAATCGATAAATACGAACAGGCTTAAAAAGACCAAAAAAAATCCATTGACAACAAATTTAGAAAAAAATAATGACATAACAAATTTTAACAAGAAACTCGCTTACTTCCATTATATTGATACATTTCGAGATAGAATCTAGAAGAATTTTACTATTCAAGTCCATCGTGCAAATTATCGACAAGAGTTTTTCTACAGGAAGCTCGTGACAATGCCAAATTACATCTTCGATATAGCCAGATAAAAACCATTGCAATGATTTAGTATCTTTCATTCTTGTCGACTAAAACAATACAATATATATATATAAAAGAATGAAATAAAATATAGGCTAAAAATATAGTTCAGGAATCAATTTACCAAGTAGTCTGCGTACAACATAATAGTACCTCGTCTTATTAATTCCTGATTTAGAGAACATTTAGGTTTAAAACTTTCAGACCTAGAAAATTAAAAGATCAATAATACATTAGTTCTGTCAAAGTCTAATGACTTAACTTCACACTATACCAATATAATACATCAAAGAACTAAAATAATAATTGGACCTTCAATCAACATTCAAACATATTAAGATAAAATTTATACTCTTTTCTAAACAAATGTTTTCCACAAATAATAAAGAATCATTCAGTAATAGATTTTTATAAATAATCAAACTTATAACATACACTTTATTCAAAGACATGAACGAGTGCCAGGAACTTCTATCAGAATGGTGCAATAGAACCATCACCTGAGCCCAGAGCAAGACCGGAAGCTGACATCGATGCATTACAAGTTCAAAGGAACTAATGATACTAGGAAGATCTGCGCTGTCACTTAGCAAGATTGACAAAGAGTTTGAAACTTTGCAGAAATTGTCTGAAAAAACAAATAAACGGACTCTTTATCATGTTACAGCAAAGTAACAATAGGCTTTAATAGGAATTCCACAAGAGATTACCAGGCTTAAACATGAATGCACAACACAGTAGAAAACTTGAAAATGCCTTTTCCAATTCAGAAACGTTTTCGTCTTTTAATTGGCACTGAATCAAACTCTTCAGTTTCAGTACAGAGGTCACAGTTATCCTAAACAGAAGCCTAAAACAGATAAATTATTATTAAATTTTACAAATTTATATAAAAACAAAATTATAATAAAATTAAACACTCCACGTTCATTGAATTGAGTCAAGATTAGATAGATAGAAAATAACTTTTTTCTGGCACAAAATCTCTTCAGAATAAACAAGAAGTACAAAATTAAAAGATTACATCTGGCCTAAATAAGAACAATAACAAAAAAGGAAAAAGAAAACATTAGTTAAACAATCTATATACAAAACAAATAAACCTATATACTAAACACTTAAAACTATGTACAGTGGTAAAACATTGTAAATAAACACTTTTATGAAAAAAATACATTAATTTCTTCTTTAAAATAAGCTCTATGTTTCTGCTAACAAAAGGAAAGTCGAATCTGACAATATAAAATGTAAATACATCATCTTATTGTAACTATAGGTATCAGAATAAATAAATAATAGTAAAAAACAAACAATAGATACATCAAGAATAGGAATATTTTTTAATATCCCTAGCGAAGTTTACAGTATGGAATAGTACTGTCGTTTGATGATGAATGATATAAAGTCAATGCATAATGCCAAAAGATTATTAGGTATCTGACTTTTTGGGGCAGGGATCAGAATTGGAGGGTTTTGAATGTGGATATGGAGGGAGAATGGCAAATTTTGATAGAGAGGTAATTCCAGAAATTGACAGTGCAAGCAATAAAGGAGTTTTGAAATGAGGCAGATCTGTGAGAAGGGATGTAAAGGTCGGAAGGTCGAGATCTTGTGGATCGAGTAAGGATTCTGTAATTAACATAAAACATCTTGTCATCGTATTTTGAGAATGAGGATTATATACTGAAAAAAAATCAATTAATACATTTTGGATGGAACTAAACTTTTAAGCATGTTTTGTAAATTTCGAAAAAACATTGTAATTGCATCAAAATGACACAAATCCTTATATATTTAAAAAAATAGTTGGCCTGTGCGAATAATTCACAGAATATATTGTTTAGTGAAGAAACAGCAAAATAATATGTAAATAAGCGTATGTGCGTAAGCAAATAATATTTCATGTATTATGTGAGTAAGGAATTACTTTTATTTTCCGCGGTCGAATACAATATTTCATCATTTAACATAATAGACCAAAATATTTGCACAAATTATTTTTCAAGGGCCTATTTCTAAACACTGAATATAACCAAACATTCAAAATAAGGCCTCAATTATAGGATTTTCTATATTATTAAAAAATATAAAATTTACCATAAAAAAAATGCCTTTAAGAAATAATGAAGTATGTATCAGGCAGAAAAAAATGTAAGTAGAATAGTTAAAGCAGAATCATCGAATGTCGAAGGACTGTATGTTTGGTAATAACAGTCCCTTTTTTTTTTTTTTCTTTTTTTTTTTTTTGTTTTGTAGGTAATTTAATAATCTTTCTAATAATGATTGGTATAATCACTCAAAAAATGCATATTTTTTGAGTGATTCGCAAATAAAGTTTATTTTTTTTCATAACATTTTTCCCTGAAATTTAGGGGAGAGATGACTATTTTTCCCACCAACCTTTGCAAGTCAAAAACGTCATATCACCCAGATAAACTGTGGGTCCCGCACATCTGCTGCATCACATGTAGCGTAACGTTAAGAGAATGGTTGAACAAGAAAGGTCGTTCAATGTGTTTTGTTGTTCCCATGGTGTGGAGGGAGCCTAATTACTCTGACAATTGCTACTTTTGCATAGCTCCTCCTCTGATATTAGTTCCTATCTAATATTGTTATTAGTTATTTCGTCAGTTCTTCTCTTTTACTGTTATTAATTTTTTTTTCATATGTTCCTTACATTATTATTATTAATATTATTTTTTTCATATGTTAATAGTTTCTCATATTGTTATCGGGTCTTTTCTAAGCCCTGAACTTTGAGTCAAAACGTCAGCAAATATATAAATAAATATCATTTATTTATTTTTAATTTGTTTATTTTTGACTGAATACCCCAACCAATTTCTCATCGATTATTCACTAAAGTCAACCATCATACCACTTTCATAATAAATAATGTAAAATATAATATGGAAACTAAATAATACAAAAAACTAGAATAAGTTCATTTAAACTTACTTGGCCAGTAGAGATTGCGGAGGCAGTGTTTTACTAACAGTATTAACTTTGAGAGGATCGTCACCTTCTTCTCTGACATATAAGTTCATCTGCTCCAACTGGAGGAGAACTTCCTCTTCTTGATGCATACACAGCGATAGCAAACAAACTGTCACCATTCCTAACCACTGGGTAAATGTCTGTGCTTCTTGCTGCAACATACATTCCTTAACTGATCAAAAGTTCATATCTATAAATTTCTCACTAGTATATTACATCAAAGATTACCAAACATTGGCCATAAAGAGCAAAAGTGTGAATATCATTCAGTCTTCTTGACATACTACCATTGAATTATTATTTGTTTATTTAGAATTATTACATTCTGTCACATCAAGGACATTTATAATAGTGATCAGAGAAAGCACACTCACACTCTATTTACAATAAAAAAAAAAAAATAAATAAATAAATAATACAGAAACTTAATAATAATAAATACAATAAAATAAAATAAAAATAAATACAATAAAATAAAATGAATGTATATAAACAAAAGAACTAACCTAATCATACACACTCGGGCTTGAGTGGAGGATCTGGCCATTGCCAAAACTCCAATAGATGCTTATTTACAAAAGGTCTCTGGGCCACTGCCGCTTCAACCTTCGAGGAGGATTGTAAGGATGGGTGGTGCTGGATAGAGATTGTGCAAGGGGATTTGGATGATAGGTAAGGTTTTGGTGAAATTTGGAGAATTTTTCTGGAATAAGGTCTAGGACAAATGGGATATTAAGGTCATGGTGTAGGATTTTGTTATTTACATAGAACGGAGCATCAACTATTGTTCGAAGGACTTTAGATTGAAAGGATTGAATACGTTTGATGTTAGAAGCTTTTGCTGTCCCCCACAGTTCAAGTCCGTATGTCCATATAGGTTTCAGTATTGTCTTGTAGATAAGTAATTTGTTTTCAATAGAAAGTTTGGATTTTCTGTTTAGTAGTCTGTATAGCTGGCCGTATCGTCGGTTGAGTTCTTGTCTTTTGAGTCTAGTATGTGGGTTCCACGTTAGTCTTCGGTCTAAATGAAAGCCAAGATACCGGACTGTGTCTGAGTAAGGAAGCTGGATGGAATTAAAGTGTACTGGTGGACAGGAACTGCGTCGGAGTGTAAAGGTAATATGTTGGCATTTAGATTCATTAACTTTAATGCGCCAGTTATTACACCAGTGCTCAATCAAGGTGAGGTGGTTTTGGAGATTTAAGGATGCTATGTTGGGATCAGAGTTGGATGATAAGATTGCGGTGTCGTCAGCGAATGTTGCAAGAAAAGTATCGGGATGAACAGGGATGTCAGCAGTAAAGAGGATGTAAAGCACGGGACCCAAGACGCTGCCTTGGGGAACACCGGCTTTAACGGAGTAGATATTGGAAAATTCTGTTCCACAGCGAACTCGGAAGGAGCGGTCAGAGAGGTAGGATCGGAGGACTAGGTACAAGGACTGAGGTAAATGGATTTTAAGCTTGAAGAGCAGTCCGGAGTGCCATACCCGGTCAAATGCCTGTGCAATGTCCAGAAATGCACCCGAACAGTATTCCTTGTTTTCTAGGGCTGAGGAAATATGATCAACAACTCGGAGTCCTTGTTGAACAGTGGAATGTTGGGAGCGAAAACCAAACTGATGGGAAGGAATATTTTGGGATTCTATAATGGGTAGGATTCGTTTCAAAAGGATCTTTTCAAAAATTTTTGAAAGGATTGGGAGTAGGCTAATTGGTCTATAGGATGTTGAGATATTGGGAGGTTTGCCTGGTTTTTGGAAAAGGATAATAGTGGAGTGTTTCCATAGCAGAGGAAAGTGGGTGGTGCGTAGGATACAGTTGTAGATATATGTAAGGAATATGACTGCTTTGGATGGAAGTTGTCGAAGGATTTGAGGGGTAAGGAGATCATGTCCAGGAGCTTTACGGGGGATTAATTTTTTTAATTGAAATTTCACTTCGGAAGGATGAATAGCTTTTGGGGGCAAGGAAAGTGGGATTGGTGATGTAAGGAATTCTTCTACTGTTACGGTGTGGGCAGGATGGGATTCCGGATGTGAAATAAATGTATTGGATAGGTGAATGGCGAACTCCTCAGCCTTATCTTCGTCAGATGCTGCCCAGGAGCCATCATCTCGTCGGAGGGGATGGGAAATGCGGTGAGGATTTAAGATTTTGGTAGTGGTTTTCCAAAGGGAATTGTCGCGAGAAGAAAGGGAGGATAGGTAGGAGTTGAAGGAATGTGATCTGAAGGTGGCTAATTCCAGTTTTAATTTTTTGCAGTAATAATTATAGGAGCAGCGGTCGGTAGGATGTCGGGTACGTTGCCACAATAATCTGGCACGGCGTTTGGTTTGGATTAGGTCAAGGAGGTGTTGGGGTAGAATGGTCTTTTTAGGAATTCTGGAGGAGTCTTTTGGGAAGGAAGCAGTCCAGGCGGCTTGTTGGATTGTGGTAGTAAAGGAATTTACGGCACTATCAAGGTCATCGGGAGTTTTGAGGGATATGTTAAGATCAATTTTATCGGAGATGATTTGGCGGAAAAGGTCCCAGTTAACTGGGCCCCTAATAAATGACGGTGGAGAAGGTTTGGGAATGGGTTCAAGTGAAACATTAAGGATTAGAGGACTATGGTCAGAGGAAAGTTCATTTAGACGTGTAATGGAACAATTGAGGGGACTTAAGCCGCTGTGGATAAAGAAATCAAGAAGATCAGGATTACGGTTGGGATCTGTAGGCCAGTAGGTAGGAGAGTTGGGGGAAAGGAGATGAAAATGTTGGGAATTGAGTGCAGACAGCAGGGTTCGGCCACGAGTATTCGTGGTTCTGGAACCCCATTGTTGATGTTTGGCATTTAGGTCTGCACCCAAGATGAAGTGATGTCCTAAGGAGTCGAGGAGAGAACGGAATTGGGCATTGGATATGGATCGGTTAGGAGGGCAATACGCTGATGCAAGGGTAACCGGAAAGGAAAAGGTTTTTATCACGATAGCGGTGGACTGTAGGAAATCATGTGTAGGTAACGGGAGTAGGTGATGGGAGAGGGATTGGTGTACAATGACAGCAGTACCGGCATGTGCTTTTCCGTCAGGGTGGTCAGTACGATATGTCAGGTATTGTGGTATTTTGAAGTGCTGTTTAGTGGTTAGTCGAGTTTCAGTAATTAGTGCCACGTCAATATTTTTGTCAAGTAATAATGTAGTTAGTTCGTTTGTGTGATTTCTAACACCATTCGCATTCCAAAGGAGAATGGATAGAGGTTTATTGGAAGTCATTTAAGGATTTTTCGCGGGAGGGATAAAATGTGATACAAGATTGGTGAGAAGAGATATCAAAGGAGTAACAAGGGATCTGAATTCGGAGAGGAAAGATGTAAGTAAACTGGTGAGATCTGTGGTATTTGAGGGAGGAGGAATGCGGGGAATTTGGTGTTGATAAAACTGTTGATTAGGTGAAGTTTGATTAGGATGTTGAGGGTGGGGTTGAGAATTTTGAGGTATGTGTTGTTGTTGCGGCAGGGTCTCACAATAAGTAACATCATTCTTACCTCCTAATAAGTGTGCAAAAGACACCGTTGGGTCAATTTTTTTTGAAGGTCCTCTTCTTGATGCGTTAGGTTCTCTTCTTGATGCCTCTGCTTCTTCTTGGGTCCGGGATTTTTGATATCTTGATTTAATATTCTTGTAGATCTGACAGCCTTTGTAGTTCGCTGGATGTCCTTCAAGGCACAATGCACAAACTGCAGGATCCCGTTTCGGTTTTGTGCACTCCCCGGATTTGTGCTGCTCTCCACATTTCACACAGCGCGGCAGATGATGGCAGTAAGTCCTGGTATGGCCATATGCCTGGCAATTGTGACACTGTACGATTTCCCTCTTAGGATATGGCTTCTCTACTATAACACTTGTGTAGTATATTCTTCTTATTTCGTATATTTTTTCGATCCCTTGATTTGGCTCCAAATCTACGAAAAATAAGGGTAGAGGAACTTTTACTCCTGGCTGTTCTTTACTCTCCTTCTGTACATTTGTAATCTGGCGCACTATGAAACCTGAAGTTTTCAATTCTTCTTCTATTGCTTCGGTTGGTGTTGAGGGGTGTAGATTTCTTATGACTACCCTCAAAGCTCGATCTTGCCGCAATTGGTACGTATGAAAATCCGCGTTGGTTTCCGTTAGATACTTCACAATTTTTCTGTAGGTTTCAGCTGTATCTGGTGATATCTTCGTGTCCTTTGTTCTGCTTAGACATGAATAGCTTCCAGAGCCTGTTATTTTGTTCAGTTGTGAGCATAGTAACTGAAAATTGCTTATGTTTTTAACGAATATGGGTGGAGGTCGGGGATCTCTTGGTATTGAAGCGGATTCCATCACTTCTTTATCATTCTGAAGCACCTGATAGGGGTTAGGGGTGAAAAACGGAGATTGTTCGGTTATCTCTTGTGAAGATGTACCTGGTTGATGCTGAAGTTCTTCAATTGTTGGTTTTGATGATGTTCCTGGCTGGGTTTCATTTTCTCTGGAGCTAATAGGCGTTACTGCAGGTGTTTGACGACATTGACGAGGCTTTTGTTTGACAGGCGAAGAACAAGGTGTTGAGCCTAACGGCCGAATTCTCTTGATAGAAGCTCTACTAGACATGGCCTGATTGTGAAATCGCATATAAGGGAAAAAAAAAATGAAAAAAAAAAAAAATAAATAAAATAAAATAAAAATAACCCTATAATTTATAACAAAAAATAAATATCAATTGTTATTATGTATTCTTGACTTGTTTTGAATAAATAATCTCAAAGATTTCACTGCAAAATAAGTAAATTCTGAGAGACGATGTAGAAACACGTCCTTTCGCATCAGCTGATCCACTGCCACTCCCGACATACTACCATAAAAGTTTTACCTTAGGGAGATCCATGACTATTAGTGGAGTATGGTGAACTAAAGATATGTGAGTAGGCCATTCAATCCTACGTCACACTCTTCAACAAGTCTGGTGGGTCCCTGCCTCCAGCAAGTCTGGAGGTCCCCTACCTCCAGCAAGTCTGGAAGGCCCCTCTCATTGTTGGTCAGCGAGTCCATCGGACTTAGCCGGGAGGAACTTCCAAGGAATTTCCATTGACCATCCCCACATCCGCCATCCGTGGGACCCAGTAATGAGCCCGCACGAGGTGATAATATTTACATTAAAATATTATATACGAATAAACACCTTTTGCTGGTGTTGCTTACATTTCGAATGCATTAGGGAGAAGAGTGGCCATCTAATGTGAGGTTGTGTATTTAACCACATTTAAAGAGGAACTGATACAGGTTTCTCATTCTTTAAAATTCTTCATGGAATGCCATAATTTCCATGTTCTCCAACAAAAACTCATACTTACATAAAATAATTATTAAGTAAATAACATACGAATAATAGTTACCTGCGGAGTGAAAAGGAGTGTAAGAACATTACTAAGCGGGGCGACAAATGACTTATTGAGACAAAACAAGGAATGAAGAGAGCTGATATTAGTAACCAAGAGCCTTCCTTCCGACAGGAGTGGAAATATGGCATCCATCGTCTGCTTATACCACTTCGACCAGTGTTCTTCATCCTTCTTTCCATCTTTTAACAGATTGTGAATTGTGTCTAATACCTATTAAAAAAAAATTAATCAACAGTTTATTTTTATTAAGTGAATATTATCATCAAATAATGAATTGTCTTATATCAACATTAAACACAGTAAAAAAAAAAATTAACACCGACTTTCTTTTTTATACAAAAACAAATTTGAATTATATATCATTTTCCATTAGACTTACACAAAGTTGAAGATGTTATTCAAAACACAGGTGAGGGGGTTTAGGTCAAGAATATAGGAAGGTTTTTTTTTTCTCAAGGATTGGAATCAGAAGGCAACAAAAGTAGGTATTGTCATCAAAAACTAGGATAAAGCCAACCTTCTTCAGAATATGTAATTTTCAACATTTTTAAACAAAATTAAAATTTATTTTTTTTACACTATAGTAGTCAATTGTAATTTATACCTGTGGGTATTCTGCAAGACGAAGCAACATAACAAGTAAAACTTCCTTCTGTGTTTCCAAGTCTTTCGGGTCGGTTACATTTGTACTTTTAAAAAAAACATGTTCAACAACAGGCAAAAGTGCAGGTATACCTAAACATAATAATATGGATACACTTCCCTTCTACTCTTAACAGATAAATGGCATTAATTGAGTATCGATAGATAACAAAACATAATCATAATAAAAAAAACTGATCATTACAATGTGTCACTGGATTCTGACCGCTCGCCATCAAACCATCACAAAGCTGAATTATTTTGGGTATACTAATGACTGGCTTTGAATGATTTTTTTCATTTGACAAATGAACTAAGAACTGAAATATAGTTGGAATTAAGAACTCAGCATCACTGAAAAAAATAAAAATGAGTAATATAATAAATAAAAATAATGATCGGTGATATTATAAAATTAAGGGGTTAGAATAAATGTTTTAAGTAAATTTTGATTTTTGTCCAGAGAGTGAATATATTTTAAATTTACGTTGATGATATACATATGTTTACATACATAATATTTAAGGAAATACTTCGTACTTTAATTTTACAGATATAATATCCTATTAAAATAATAATTGTAGGTTGATGGTATACTGTCGTGAATAATGAAGGATGGTTGGGATGATCAGTCGGAAATAAAAAGGAAAAATGAATAACAATATTTATTTTAACATTTGTTTCGACCTGAAGTTCAGGCCTTAATATTTTTTACCTACATTGTTTATGATTCTCATACCTTGTTATTTGGTTCTTTTCTTAGCCTTGATGAAGGCCTGAACTTCAGGTTGAAATCTCGGCAAATGTTAAAATAAAGATTATTATTTATTTTTGCCTTTTTATTTCTGACTGATCACTCCAACCATTCTTCTCTTCATTATAAAAATAACATATCTTTTGAGTCCCTATTTGGGCACCATATATAAATATATCATCCTTCAAACAGTTTTGATTAGCAGTTATAACTAAACTTAATAATTTATTGATGGTTATTTCAAATTAATTTTAATTTAAATTATTTAAAAATATATTCCTTAACAGAGGCCTTATATTTAATAAATAAAAAAACAACAATAAAACCTTATCAATGAGTCATCTTAAATAATTCACAACACTGTAACAATTAACTGCTTAATTAAAACTAAACTAACTTACTTTTCAATCTGTCAATTAAACTAATAACTCTTAAATGATTGTAGAGAAACTAAGTCTTATCTCAACTGAAAGACTTTCCGTGATGAATGACTTACTAAGTGAAGTAAACTTTTTTTTTCTGTTTACCTCCATTTCTGGCATACAGAGGAATTGTTTTAGAGATACAACCAAACATATTCTAAACAGAATGGGAAGGTCCTAATTCATTCCAAGGATCCGCCACAAAATAAATTCCAACCTACCCAGACCAAATTCGAACCATTGCTGCTAAAACCAAGAATCTTAGCACTCAGCCACCATGGCCTCTAATTGCAGCAAACAATGAAGTAATTACCTCTTACCACCAGTCTGGCAGTCTTAAATACTCTGCAGAAGATTCGAGGCAAATCTCGGCCATACCTTTGAGTTCCAGTGGTCAGGTCAAAAAGTGATGGTGTTTGTTTATTATAATGTTTGTTTATTTACCATATTATAATAGTATTATAACTCAAATACCACAATTCTTGAATTATCTAGAACTTGCACTATTTTATAACTTTGAAACTCAAAACTATTATGATATAACAAATTATAACTTAAAATAAATGCTATATATCGATAGCTCGGTTAAAAATTGAAACAACTCAAAAGTCAAGGTTTTCAGATAAATGAGCCCAAACGTTTTGAACAAACTTAAAAAAATTAAATGAAATATTACATAGGGAAACATAAACTTTTACACTGATGTTGAAGACATTTTGAAATGGTGTCATTTTGTGCTATGAAGAAAAGGTTACACACCATAGGTATAAGAAAAAAATTGAAAACCATCGATTTCTCAGTTGTTTCAGTTTTGAGCTGAGCCATCAATTATTAATAATAAATAGCCATAAATTATTAATTCATATTATTCATGTACATGAATATACATTAATGAAAAATTCACTTTTAAGGCAAAAAATATTTGTAAAAAAATTGACTTACAACAATTTTATTCTAACACCCTCAGAAATTAATAGATAAATTCATGAAACTTACTGTATTTGCCCGGCTTCTAAAAATTCAAATTGTTTCAATACAAAGTCAATAAATATTTGGTCCGAATCTAAGAGACAGTAATTTACTTTCAATTGAACTAATAATGTCAACAACCTTAATACTTGGGCCTGAAGTTTCACATTACATGTAATTGTGTACTCCTATAACAAAATTATTTAGTTAGTAAGCAGTATTATCGTAAAATAAAAAATAAGATAGAGAACAAAGCTATACATTAATATTTGTATATACAGTAAAACAAAGTTTTATTGAAGGAAGTTTGACGACTGTTTTACATATCGTGGGTGATAAATATTCATGACATAGTCATTATAAACTTTTTATTGGTGACGACATTTCAATCCAAACATGTGGGTCATCATCAGGACATGTTTCGAGCACTGAAAGTATTTAAGTACATCAGTACTTGAATACAGTATTTACAGTAATTACAGCACTTGAATACCTTCAGTCCTCGAAACATGCCCTAATGATGACCCACATGTTTGGGTTGAAACATCGGCACCAATAAAAACTTTGTAATGACTGCGTCTTGAATATTTTTCATCCATAAAATAATGTTTAGATAACATTCTTGAGAACTGGCTATCAAGAATGATTTTATTTTCATTTCATCTAAGAATGGTTTAATTTTTCTATGCTTCTACTGATTTGAGTCCAGAAATAAAAGAGTAAAATATTTAATTATTGTCACCTTTAAAGACTGTATAACTATCCCTTCAAAAAGTTTGATTCTTGATGCAAGTACAGCTCTGTCACATGCTGTATGAGGTTTCACCTTCTCATTGGCTGTTCCACTATAATCACAATATTTTATAAGATGATAAATATAAAAGTATATATTATGTATTGTATAGAAAATGATATCTCAAAACAAATAGTGATCGTACCCTTCAGTCGAAACAGCACCAGGAGAATGAAGCAATTCTGATAATTGTTTTAATGGATTATTAAAAATGTTTTCATAGTAACCGTTAGGCAAAGATAAATGGGATGATTGAATTTCAAGGAGATTCGACATTTGAATTCCAAGAAGATTCATTTCGAATAAACTTCTCAGCAACTTCATGAAATAAAATAAAAGAAGAAGATCAGTCAATAACAAAGAAAACAAATCAATACATGGTTTTAAACAGGAAACAGTGAACATTACCTCATGAACCACCTTGACAGTCGCTTCAGAATCGAGAATAAACGTTACCCTCAGATATTGAAGAAGTTCTTCGAACATTTTTTCTGAATCGATAATATTGTTAGGAGTCAGCATTACTTCCAAGCAGCCGAGGGTATGACTGATCAGTGACAAAAATTTTTTACTTGCCACTCTATCTAGTGTCAACTGAAAGAAAAAATAACAAAATAAAATAAACAAATACACATAGCATAAGCCTATTGGCCACATCAACAATATAAATAAAACAACATAATTTAGGGTAAGCAACGTTCATCAAGTTCTGCTCATTTTAAACAAATAAAAAAGCTTTATTTCCAAAAACCATACACAAATTATTCAAGCATCATCCATTCTGTATAAAGTCATCTTTCTGCCAAAGAGTGGCAAAATAGACATCTAATTTTTTTCACAAAACAACTAAAAAATGATATTCTATAGAATACTGTAATGGCAATGTTTATAAATTTGAATGTGTTAATACATTTTTTTGTACTGCGAATGAAATAACTATATTCAAAATTAACAACTACTTCAATTGAGGCATTACCAAACTACAATTTTTGAATCGTCCCATTATTTCTACCGGAATGGAATATATATTATCCACTTATTATTTTATGATGATTAGAACAAAGTTCAATCCATGAAAATAAATGTAATGTTCAAAATTTTTGGTTTATATATAATGGAAAACATCCAGAAAAAATTGTCCGTGAAGATGGAACAGGAGCCAGAAACACTGACAAAAGGAAAATAAATAAAAATTATAAATGAATAGAAGAGAAACCATCATAAAAAAAACTTCAGGAGCAATATATTTTGTTTAAAATTATAATTCATGATTTAATTTTTACCTTATAGTTCGTATAGCCAGAACGTATTATTTCATACAACTTTAAACATTGAGGGGTATTTCCATAGAATCCAATCACTCGTATTTTTTCATCTTTTTCACTTTCTTTTTCTACTGTAGAGATAGAAAAAATAAATTATTCAAGTGAATATTAATAACAAGATTAAGAAAAACAAATAAACTGAATTGTTACCAGGAAGAAGTGGAATTTTTGAAGGAGAGTTTGGTCTTGGAGGCTGCCTTTTTTTGAGAGGTGACGATAACAAATTACGTGGTTGAACATTATCTTCTACTACATTTACAAATATACTCATCAGTCTCATTAAATGGATCAAGAGTTCATCTATAGAAGCCATCAGCTGTAAATAAAACATTTTTTTTCAATAAATTTTAAAAAAATAAGAATTAAAATATTTAACTAGAAGGAAGCTTATACCCTTGACTTTTCTGCCAACTGATCATTCCGCTGCTTCAAATGGTGATGCAAAAGACCTAAAGTAACAATTATTAAATAAATTAATGAACTTAATCATAGAGATGAGTAAGTAGTTGAGCAATTTTAAGGATTAAATAAAATTGTCAGGAATTGCAGTCATAATATTTTTAATAGGTTAGCCAACATTTCGACCCTAACATGTGCGTCATCATCAGGGCTATCGTTTTGAAGTCGAGACAAGAACTTAAGAGTGATGATGCACATGTTTGGGTTGAAAAGTCAGCCAACCCATTAAAAAAATTGTGAATGAAATTCCTGACAATTTTGTTTCAAACTTAATCATAAATGATTTATTGAACATTTTTTTTTTTTATTTATTTATTAATGATATTTACAACTGTATTACAAGTAAAAATACATTCAGTAAATGTGTACAATAGAATATAATAACATGAAATCATTTGGTGAGAAACTACCCACTGGTAGCACTCTAAAAATGTATTTACAAAAGGAGATCTCGAGGCCATCTTCTTTTCAGACGCCTCGGAGGGTTGTCAGGTATCGAAAAGGAAGCAAGGTTAGAAACGAGAGGGTTAGGATGGTTCTGAAGTTTATTATGGAAGGAAAGGTATCTGGATTGGGCCAGGTCAGAAACATAAGGAACATTAAGGTCGTTATGGATGATTTTGTTTGTGACAAAGTAAGGAGCTGTGAGGATTTTACGAAGGATTTTGGATTGTAAGGATTGGATGCGAGAGGAATTCGATGGCTTAGTGGAGCCCCAGAGCTCAATTCCGTAAGTCCAAATAGGTCTTATTGTAGTCATGTATATGAGTCTTTTGTAATTGACTGGGAGCTTAGAGCGTTTGTCTAGTAAGTGCTGGAGTAGTCGGAAACGTCGAGCTGTTTCTTGTCGTTTCAGTCTGGTATGAGGATTCCAAGTTAGACGTCTGTCTAAGTGGAGTCCAAGGTATCGAATTTGTTCAACAGGGATAAGTGGGGTATTATTAAAGGATACTGTAGGACAAGAGGACATAGGTTTACGACGAAGGGTAAACGTGATTTGATGGGATTTATTGGAATTTATTTTGATCCTCCAGTTTTGAAACCATTCTTCAAGGTTTGTGATGTGTGATTGAAGGGTTTGGGATGCAATTGTTGGGTCGTTATTAATTGATAGGACACATGTATCATCGGCATACGTGGTAATAACAGTGTTAGGATGGGTTGGGATATCAGCTGTATAAACTGTGTAAAGGATAGGACCTAGGATACTACCTTGAGGAACACCAGCGGACTGGGAAAAAAGGGATGAATAGGCATTATTATGATTTACTTTGAAGGATCTATCAGTTAGATAGGAACGGATAATGAGGAAGTATGTAGGGTGTAGGAATTTACGGAGTTTGTAAAGCAGTCCTGGGTGCCAGACTCGATCAAAAGCCTGTTCTACATCGAGAAAGACTCCCATGCAGTACATTCCGCGCTCCAATGCAGAGGAGACAACATCCACCACACGATGGCATTGCTGGATAGTGGAATGGGATCTGCGGAATCCAAATTGATGATCTGGGATAATGTGATTAGAATCTAGGATGGGGTGCAGGCGTTTTAGGATGAGCTTTTCCAGGATTTTGCCTAGGATGGGTAAAAGGGAGATAGGGCGATAAGAGGATGGGTTTTCTGGTGGCTTTTTGGGTTTATGTATCATTTTGATAATAGATAATTTCCAAGGGTTAGGAAAGTATGTGGTTCGCAGAACAGCATTATATATATACGTAAGGAATAGGATGGCTTTCCGAGGAAGCAGTTTTAGGATCTGGGATGTAATTAGGTCGTGTCCAGGAGCTTTTCGGGAAGGTAACCTTTGAATGATGTCGGATATTTCTGAAGGATGAAAGGCTTTAGGTGGAAGAGACATTTGGAGTGGGATATCCAGTTCTGCTTCAATACATTCAAGGTGATTTGGGTTATGAATATCAGGGTGTGGATTAAAGGTTTTAAAGAGGTGATGAGCAAAGATTTGTGATTTTTCTTCATCGGATTTGGACCAGGTTTGAGCTTCAGTAAGAAGTGGATGATTACAGTCTTTAAATTTCAGGAGCCTTTTAGTGGTCGTCCATAGTGATTTGTCGGTAGGTGTAAGTTTTTCAGTAAAGTTTAGTAAATTTTGAATCTTGTATTTTCTAATTTCAGATTTTAGTTTGTTAGTCAGTTGGGTATAGTGAGTTTTATCTGTTGGATATCTGGTTCTATGCCACTTCGATCTTGCTCTGCGTTTTTCCTTCAATAAGATACGAATATGCTGTGGCAAGTCAGTCTTTTGTGAATTGTTGAACTTATTGATAAAAGTGTTATTATTTATACTGTCTGTTATTGATGCTGTCAGTTTTTCAATGGCACCATTAATGTCCTCTTTTGTCTTTAGCGGAATTTTTAAGTCTAGTTTGTTTTCCAAATCTTCACGAAATTGGTCCCAGTTCACTCGTCCTGTGATCAATTTAGGAGGTGATGGTTTAGGAGCATAGCTCGAATGTAGTGAAAGTAGAACTGGACTATGGTCTGAAGAAAGGTCATCAAGGGATTTGATTATGGTTTGTGAGGAGGAGATCTGAGAAGTTATAAATATATCTAGGATATCGGGACGTTTTTTGAGGGATGTTGGCCAATAAGTAGGACTCATGGGCGAAAGGATTGAATAATTGTTGGAAGATGAAACACGGGATAGGATGTTACCGCGGGGGTTGGACGTTCGACAACCCCATCGTTGGTGTTTAGCATTGTAGTCCCCTCCAGCAATGAAGCGCGATCCGAGGGATTTGAATAAGGAATCAAGGAGGTTATAGGAGATGGAATTACCAGGAGGACAGTATATAGCTGAGAATGTGAGATGGAAAGGGCGAGTTGAAAGGACTACGGAAGTTGATTGAATGGCATCAGTTGGAGTGGAAGGAATAAGGGAATGGGGTAATGATTTATGTATAAGGATGCAAGAACCGGCATGGGAGGTGTTGTCTGGGTGATCAGTTCTATAAGTGAAGTAGTCACGTATGTAGAAATGTATTCGTTTAGTGAAGTGAGTTTCAGTCAATAGAGCAATGTCAATGTGATTATTATGAAGAAATAAGTCAAGTTCGTCACGGTGGTTACTTAGTCCGTTAGCATTCCATAAAAGGATAGTTAGGGGCTTTGTGCTCATCGTTGGAAATTGAACGGAATTTCGGTCAGGATTCTGGTGAGAAGAGTGATAAGTGGTTTTATAGTATTTTGCAGGTCCAATAGGAAGGATGATAGAATGGAGGTTAGGTCGGATGGATGTTGATTGTGAATTGGATTCAGGATAGGTTCTTGTGGTGGATTAGGAGTGTTAGCTGAGGGCGGGATCCGTCGTTGTGCACGAGGTGGGTCTAGATTGGAAGGTACTTGTGCTGCACTTTTTTTCTGGGCGTTAGGATGGGACTGTTGAGGATGCTGCGGTGGTAATTTGACTCGTAAGGGTATATGATGAGGGAGAATTTGCTGACGTGGAGGATGAGATTGGGGATTGTGAGATTGAGGTTTGCATTGGGAGATTTGAGGCGCCTGAATTTGAGGCTGCTGCTTCTTCATGGTGATTGGTGTTTTTCTAAAGTCCTGCTGAGGTTGATCAATTTCTTTTGAAGTAGTCGCTAGCTGTGTATTTTGAGTAGACGTTTTTGGCAATTCAGGAAAATTTGACAGATTATCAATTTCAGGTAGATGGGTGACACTTTCTTGGTTCAGTTTTACGCTTTTCGAGGCAATGTTCAGAGCTCTCTGCTTATAAAAATGTTTATAAACTTTGCATCCTCTGTAGTTTGCTGGATGTTCTTCACCACAAAGGGCACATTTCGCAGGCAGGTCTCGAGGTCTCTGACAAGTGTCAGATGCGTGGGGGCCGGCACATTTCACGCACCTGGCCTGGTGATGACAATAAGTCTTTGTATGCCCCAAGTCTTGGCACTTAGTGCATTGCTCTATTATAGGCTTTTGTCTAGGCTCTTCGAATTTAATGGTGGAATATATAAGCCTCTTCACTTGGAAAATTTCGATGTTATTGCTGGCAGGCTCTAAATCGACGAAAAATAGTGGTAAAGGATATTTTTCCGTTGGGTGTAGTACGCATGATATGTGCCTAACATTGTGACCTATTTCTTCTAGGCCACTTTTGATGAAAGATATTGGGGTGCTTGAGTGTAGTCCTCTTAACACCACTCGGTATGGCTTTTCTTGTCTTAATTGATAACAATGAAAATCATAGTTTTTGGACGTAAAGTAATTTATAAGTGCTTTGTAATTTTCTCGAGAGTTTGTGTTTATTTTGATATCATTAACTCTGGAGAAACAGCGGAAATTGGTCTGTCCAATCAGACCGGCTATTTCTTGACCAAATGTAATGAAGTTATCGACTTTTGATATGAAAATAGGTGGCGGCTCGGGCTCAGAAAACTCTTGAGGCTCCGGAACCTTGCTTGATATTTTATTAACGGGAACAGGATTATTGGTGTTAGTGGTGGTTGGTGCAGTTGGCTCTGATGTTATGGTAATTGATTTGCTTCTGGTTTGAGGTGGTGATATATTTTGCTCGGCTGATTGTTTAGTTTTAGTAGATTTACTTTGTTCAGTTGACTTTTTAGATTTATTTTGCTCTGCTAACTGTTTAGGTTTAGCTGATTTATTTTTTTTCTTATTGGGTGAATTAGCTCCCGACCCAGGAGGAGTGTTTCGATGACGTTTTTGAAGTGTTCGTCTTTTTAAATACTGCGAATCTGTTTCGCTAACCTCAGAAAACGGCGTTTCGTCCTCCGAATCTTCACCTGACGAACTCTTATCTAAATTCATATCTTCCATATTATGATAAAAGAGAGAAAAAAATATATATATTTACTCCTAAATATGATAATTAAAAAGATTGAAGATTACGAAATAAGCTATTAAAAAATAAACTATATACATAACTATAATCAGAAATAAAATAAAACATTTCTTAGAATAAATATTTAAATAAAAATAAAACAGTCTCTGGAAAAGAAAAAAAAAAGAAAGAAAAAAAAAATAAGGAAACGTAAATATAATGTCTTGGGTTCGAACTGAAGACCTGATGACTGAAGGAAGTTAGTAAACAGAGCCCCTGGCCGTGAACTTATCGGAGTATGATAAGGCACGTAAGGGAATTAACGGCCTCTCAATCTAACCAAATGAGCACCAATTTATCAATTGTTTATTGTTAATAAATAGTACCTCACCTGCGTGTACGTCAACGTAAAAGTGTAAAACTGTTTATTAACTCACTGTTGATTAAGTATTACACCACAACTTTGAATATTGAGCACATTACAAAGCAACAAATACAGAGCGACGTGAAAGTTATACTGCACTTGCGGCCATGACACTTGCTACTATTGAACATTAAACAACATGGATTGTTATATCATAAAAAGTCATGTAAAAAGCTTTACATAAGGTACATTATTCAACTGATACTTTCTAATATCTTAATATTTCATGAACAAACATAATTTAGAAATTTAATTCCAAAGCCAACCAATTCCATTTTCCAATTTTTTTTTCCTATCTTTCACAGTTTTCATATAACATTATCATGAAGTGAAAGAATTTATGCCAAAATCAGTTATACCACTGTTCCTATATGATATATAAAATCATATTTGACTGATCTATGTTATTTTTAAAGACTTTCACCTAATGATAATCTGGTACAAAAACTTTGAATATTGATTAAGTTGGTTTTGGATTTCAACGCTAAGTCAAACTAGATCCAATCAATATTGAAACACACTGCTCTACTTCTGTCAATGATTGGCTACCTTTCTCCTTAAATTTACTTTCAGTAGATTATAATTTGATTTATATACTTTATTTAAATATTTTAAGGGAGCGGAGTAACCCAGTGGATGAGAACTGACTTCCAGAGCTCAAGGAACCAGGTTCGAATCCAGCTGATGACTAGTAATTTTTCATCAGCCTTGGGTCGACCCTGGGGTCAGGAGACCCTCCTGGGGCAAATTCAGCCTCTATAAAGTGGGTACTCGGAATTCATTAATTAATTAAGGGAGAAAACCTGGCGATTGAGTGTGACTTAGGCCCGTCACCTCCCTGCACAACCATTGGCCTTGTAACAGTACTTCTTCAAATAGTACTGAACCCAAGACCCTTCATAGGTTCTTAGTATTACAGGTTTTTTTAAATTATATTTAAATAATATTAATTATTAAATTTCAAATAATAGTAATTATTATTAATCATTCATACCTTTAAACAGATTGGAAGCCAATTTCAAGAGCCACTGATGGCATTCTAAATCAAGAGAAATATAGGAATTCGTGAGAAGGGTTACAATGAGAGAAAAAACACCGCCTGCAGAGGTGGGCCTAAAAGAAAATACACTACATAAATACCAATAATGATAAAGATAGAAATGGCAAGATGGATAAACAAAATATACTTAAAATATGGGTAATAGTAAACCCAGAACAGATGAGAAAGATAACACGTACTCTTTTTCAGTTGAATTGTCCCGACACTGCCATGAATCTGGATACAAAGAGGGCTCATATTCTTCTGATAAGTTGCAAAGAGCCTCAATACATCCATACTTAAATTAAAAATACAAAATAAATTATTAGCTGCCATTAAACATAGAAGAGTTACATACTTGATATAAATCATAATTATTTTTAGGCTAGATGCATTTATACTATAAACAATACAGTTAACACTGAACCTTATTAAAATGTTGTCAAATATATATTGACAAGTTGACTCACATCAAGTCACTCAAATGACTGTTACATAAACACTGCGCGTCCAAAATGGCTGAAACTTCGGTGGGTAACTGCCAACAGATAAATAATGAAATTCACTTGCTTTTATTTGCTGCCATCTTCACATTGTGGTCAGAAACTTTTCAGACCACCCTCGTATATGAAGGTCCGATTTCTAGTTTTTGAGATATTTTAATCCATATGCAAAAACACTTCAAATTATCGACTCCAGCTGACTTTACCCGAGTGTTACATATCGGAGATCTGACGGCTCAATCTAATTTACTCTCCACAAAAAAGTGCAAAACGAGCTTAAAGAAGTTTCCACTTAAAAAATATATAAATTATATAAAATTTTATCTATAATGGAGAAGTCTGATTAATATTTTATCTTTCAACCTAAGTAATCATTCATTTTTAATTTTAATATGAATGGGGAGAAGAAACCACTCTTAATATCAAAATATATAACAAACAATAATAGTGATTTAAAAAATATATAAATAAAACTGCATACTGATAGATTTTTAGACGAAGAAGCCATCAAAGTTTCAACTAATACATCTACTACTCTTGAGAGAGTGTTTTCCTCAATAACGGTCCCAAACAGAGGCTTTTTTCTACCTAAAATTTGAATTCCCAGAATTTGTAGAATTATACTTTAAATATTTTATTTATTATTGTGAAAAATGAGATGTATATATTAAATATTACCTCTAATTAAAATGTCAGAGAACATCATAGAAACTAATTCAACACCACGGGCGACGACAACGTCATCTGTTCCGTAATCTACTGGATAGTATAGATTTTTTACGATCCTTTAACAAAAGAAATATTTAAAATGTATCCAAACATTATAATGATAATAATTTTTCAGATAACAAAGAAACAAAAACTTACTTCATTATTCCTTCACATGCCGTTTTTCTTACACGGTTATCTTCATCAGAAAGGAAATCTCCAATTAAAATATCAAATACTTTGGATTGATAGATCGTGTTTCCTGTCATAAAATAAACACATTGGTAAGGTAACGAGCAGAACAACTCAATGAGATGTACCTGGGAAAGAAAAGTAAAAAATGTTAGAAAAAGTTTGTTTTTAAATAATACATAATACAGAAATGGAACAAACCTTGACAAGCCAATATGGATTTTGGGTGACAGCTAAAAGTTTATTTAAAATAGGAGTAACTAATGCGTAATAAGAGCTTTCCATTATAACAGGTAAGCATAATAATAAAGCCATTAGGGAATGTCGAACGCAGACAGAAGATTCATCTTGAATACCCTACAACAAAATAATAATTAGAATAATCATCATAAGTATCTAATTAGCATCTAACTCTACAACATTAAATCTGTTTTATTAATATTTTTTTACTACACAATATCAATAATATAGTTCTTATAATATCACCAATAGCATGTCTAATTTTGTATGGTTTACAACTTTTCTTTTGTTTAACATTCCAAGCGATATTGAGAGGTGATTTAATAAGGCAGGATCAAACAATCATTCATTTATAAGTTTAAAAAAATTAAATTAAATCAAAACAAGATAAAAAATGCTGCAAATTGTTACACAATGGTTTATAATTTTCAAAAACTTATGAATGTAACACTTCTTTCATTATCACTTAGAGGAAAATAAATAAAATATGATTGATGAAACTGGAATGAATAATTTTTTTTTCATCATGAGTAATTCGCTAAGAATATATAAAACAATCCTCATTATTTCAGTTGATTTAAGAATTTCCAAAAATCAAAAACGACAACAAAGAATACCAGCTTTGTGGTAGAACAAGTAGTAAATATTTAGAACGAAATGTCTTTCCACTAAATAGTCTAATTTCAACAATTGCTTGTTTGTTCTTTAGGAAATTTCATAAACTTTTAAATTAAACAAAAAAGTGTATATTTTTTAAGGTATTCAGAAATCTAATTTTTGCATTTCATCTTTTCGGTGAAATATGTTGTATACATAAATTTAAAAGGTTTCCAAGGAAAAGACATCAGCAAAGCTTCATTGAAATCAGTAATTTGTTTACATGCTACAGTCTATAATGACACAGGTTTTGTGACTGCCGTCTTGAAAGGAAAGGACAGATAGCAACGTTAAGGTAGCAGGATCATCGTCAGGGAACCTCTGAATTGTTCCAGAAGTCTCAAAGAAAAGCTGCAGATGCCATACAGCTGATGGTGGACAGGCAACATTTTTTTTATTCTCTTACTACAAACTTTGAGAGAGGGTTAACTTTTGAATATTTTGTTCACTTACAATGATTCATTATTGAAAACAATAAACCAAAATGAGTTAACATACAAAATATTCATTATTTTTACTTCTAAATAAATTAATGTGGTAGAATTAAATAATAAGTAGTATATACTAAATAATAATAATTAATGAATGTAAGATGTACATCATCCAGGCACCAACCCGTACAATCACTGAAAAATTTATCAAAATCAGATTAAAGTTAGTAGGTGATATCATCAGATAGATTTGGATACAGACGGGCAGACAAACATCAAATTATTCCTAAAAGTATTAGACCAGTGAATGAAAATTTTCGATTCTGAGGTCAAAAAATATAAAATCCTGCAGAATATAAGGCTTCCCTACTTTCATCAGTAAGTAAGCAGAACTTAAAAGTAAAAAAAAACTATTACTTAACAAAGTAAACATATATTACAATTTTTTAAATATTACTGTATCAAAGAACCAAGAAAATCAATACTAGTTTTAAACAAATATTAATTTTACATTCAACATAATATCCATCAGCTTCTCTATTGAAACAACTTTGTCAAGCTTTTCCTCAAAATGGGTCTCAAACAGTGCCTGATTAAATAGGGACTGTATCAAATGAGCAATCAATAACCGGCAATGCCCTCTCAACTGCTGGTCGGAATCTTCGGCAAAACATATTACATCACAGATATGTGAAAATCCTAAAAAAAAAAAAAGAAGTTTTAAATTCAAAAGTAACATTACATTTGATCTACCAGAAGAAACATATTATTAATAGCATTACCTTTCGGAGTGGAAAGACCATTCTTGTCGACAGGCTCAAAGAAGACAGATGGTTGCAGCCTGAGAACTTGACTAAGGCACATGAGAGCGAGGGATCGCACCGAGACTCTAGAATTACCACACTCGGGGATCAGGAAGCGGGTAACAAGCCTCCTAGCAGTGAACAGCAAAGGAGACTGGCTTCCGTCCGTCAACTCCCCGATATCCCAGGTCTAAAGAAATCATTAAAATAAATCAAACCTTTTAAAAGATTTTCATAAGAAAAAATAATAATACATAATTATTTTTTTTTTACCATAGGTTGAATTGAATTTAAAGGAGGTGAAGGCGATTCCCGGGCAAGATAAATATCAGGTTCAGATGATTGGAATGGAAGAGACTTTGTAAGGGAACCCAATTCATCACTCATTACAGAATCTCCATCAGGATAATCTAAAATAATAAAAAAAAAAAGTCAACACAAAGTAACCTTCATGGCCAAGTTTTCGTGAGACAGAAACAGAATACTCCAAATCAAAGAATATTTATTTTCCCATATCAATAGAATATTAATAATAATAAAAGTTCCAAATTCCTCAGCCAGAAATTCAGTAACAAACTACAGTCAATCCGAATTAATTACAAGGGAGTTCAGATTAGCAAAATATTTTGATTACCAAATGGAGGAAAAAAAAGGCCACTTCATAAATAAGCAATTAATTAATTAACTAAAATGATAAATATATTTACATAAAATTACTTTTACAATAATCAATCATCATTCAGAAATTTATTTTTTAAATATTTTATAGTGAAATAATTTGAAATTTTTGTTTGAAACAAGATGTCTTCTCTAATCTAATTTTTCTAAACATGTGTAATTTAAAAACTAAGCACCTGGCTTAGACGACATAATTTTCTTCTACTCATTGGATCCATTTGTTGAAAGATAATTAAATAATTACAATTAAATCTTCAATATATTTTTTTTAATATAATATGGTTCAGATTATGAAATGGTCTAGATCAGCAAAAGTCCACTGTACTGAACCCAAGATCCTCCATGGCATGGGTCTTAAGGGTAAAGCGTTTAAATGATGGGATATAATTTTCTTATTAGACCAATTACGAGTATGGAGAACCTTTCATATCACTATTTGATGATGTTTAGTAATTATATTTCAGTTAGGTGGTGATTATTTAATACTTTTTTCTTCCACAATCGACTTAATGCACATGATTTTAAAAATACTATAAGCATCTATAAGCTTACTTTATAAGGCTGAGATCTATATCTCCAGCCTTCATACTTCCATACCACATTATTTAAGAAGTTTTGGATATGTTCATCCATTTTCAAACATATATTATTTTATTTCCATTCAATCCACCTATATATTTTTTTTACATTTACCAATCTATTGTTATTTCTATTAATCCTCTTAACTCAGCTAACTTTGTTATTAATTGTCCTTTTATTAAAAAATAAAACTTTGTTCATCTTTTAAGTTTTAAACAATTTAAGAACCTGATTATAACTTAAAAATAATATTAACATTTAAGAGCAAAAAAGAAAAAAAAACTTAAGTAAGCATTCCAATTTTTAAGCCATGATAATGAATATAAATTTCATATTAAAAAAAAAGTTTTTTATAAAATATTAGGCCAAAGATCACCAAATATACACAGTATTTACATCATGTATTATTTATTAGATGTTTCGGCTTCGGAAGCCATTCCTGCAAACATGCACCTAAATTGTATCATTATAATATAATTTGTTTTTTTCACTTCTCTATCGTAGACGATATTAAAAGTGTTCCTCCTCACTAACGCATTCATGCAGGATTCTTGACCTAATATTTTATAAAAAACTTTTAAAAAATGGCACTGAACCTAAAAGATATGACTAAAAAAATTTTTATTTATTTATTTTTTTTTTTAATTGAAATTTACAACTGTATTACATAGAAAATACAATAAGTAAATGTGACATGGGTAACATGACATGTACAACATAAAGAGAAACTACCCATTGGTAGAACTCAAATTAAAGTTCTATATTAGAAGGTCCCAAGGCCATTTTCTTTTCAGACGCCTCGGAGGGTTATCAGGGATCGAGGAGGAAGGTTTGAAACGAGAGGATTTAGATGCAGTTTGTTATGGAAGGATAGGTATCTGGATTGGACCAAATCGGAAACATATGGAACATTAAGGTCTTTATGGATGATTTTATTTGTGACAAAGTAAGGAGCGTTGAGGATTTTACAAAGGATTTTGGATTGTAAGGATTGGATACAAGAGGAATTCAATGGTTTAGTGGAGCCCCAAAGTTCAATGCCGTAAGTCCAGATAGGTCTTATTATTGTCATATATATATATATATGAGTCGTTTGTAATTGATTGAAAGCTTAGAGCGTTTGTCTAGTAAGTGCTGCAGTTGACTAAAAAATAAAAATAAAAAGTTAATTCAATGCAAGGAATGAAATTTCCATGACTTCATAATGACAACCCCTTACACAGTAAGTAGTGGCCTTATAAATTCTATCTTGTAGGAAATTCTAATTTTTAACTTCTGTACCCAATAAATTAATGAATCATAAAAGATAAAAGTTTTAATAACACAAAAATGAATAAATCAAAGTTATTCATGATATTACATAAATCATACCCATTTGATAATACCTTGAAAAGCATCAGCAGAAACACTAGCAGGTCTATCTTTGTCTAAAACTAGATGGTTGAGTTGACTTTCAGTGTTAGAACCGTCGTTGAACCAAGTTCCTAAATCTTCTTGATGTAATGAGAAATCTTCGGATTCAAAAAGAGACATATCCTCAGAAATAGGAACTGTTGTTGCAACACTTATGTCACCTTAAAAATTAATATTTAGCTAAATAAATTATTTCAACATAAAGATAAAAAAAAATATTTAATCTAAAAATTATCTAATGGGCCCAATGACATGACCTTTCCTTGTCTCTTTAAGTGCATACAAAAATTGTTTGTTGCATCTTTGCTACTATTGGTCCTATTAAGATTTTTACTTTTAATGGCCTATTTATAAAATGTATAGTAAAGGAAAACCTCTTATCTTCTTCAGTTTCTCATTCCATTCATACAAAGATGACTGAAGAGACTACTGAGAGTCAACTATCAGTACATCACCCGCATATGTCATAGCTGGAGCCAGTGGATACTGGAATTAATTTCCAAAATCCTGCTACGGCTTTTGAGTTCTCCTGATGGAGGTCATAAATAGGCTAAATAGTGGCAAAACTATTTTTCTAAAAGCCTTTCAACAGGCCACTATTGAGCCTATTTATGACTGCCACCCCGGACCATCTCCTTCCTTTATAATGCAACGGTCAACTATTAAATATTCAATATATTGTTTCCATTTGGATATCCATAACCTTATACTGATTTTTCAGTCTATCATAACATTATAAATGTTGAAAACGGATTGAGCCAAACTTGTATATTGCATTAATAACATTACAAACTATAAAAAACTTACTGAGGGTTCTAGTGGACAGCTTCCAACTAACATTGCAAGAATGAATACGAGATCTCGAAAGACCCTGCTGATTGAAGAGAACTGGTAATAAAAGAGCTGGCGGAGTCGTCAGAAGTTCGTTCAGTGTTTCTAAAGCAGCAGTAACAATATTGTGATCTTCATGCTGAGTCAAATGGAGGCACAATTCAAATACCTGCAAAATTATAAAGTATAACTAACAAATTACGGTAACAAAGATCCATGAACACGTATATTTTTGTTTTATTAATAAATATATTTTGTTAAATGGTTATATACACTGAATTCTTGAATAATTAAGAATTATAAGTCATTAAAAAATAGAAACTTGATACAGCATATTTATGGTAATGTACACCTCAATTGGAAGTTGGTAAAAATGGTTTCATAAATTAATGTTGAATATTTAAAAGGAAAGCTAATCTAGTTCTACTAATCCAGGAAAATAAAAATATCTGCTCTGTAGTTTTCCCAAAAAGGAAAATCCCAAAGAGGGGAGGGGACAAAGGATTTTTGTTTTGGCAAGCAGTTAGTGTTTGGCTGGGGTGAAGAGAGGATGGGAGAAGGGATTCTAGCTCTAGTGGGTAAAACTCAGTAATAGTATTACCATCTTGGAAGTGGTTGTTTAGTAGAAGGACTGGTTGTTTGGAACTGCAAGAGAGAGGATCTCCCAGGGAGCTTGAGTTCAATAGATGAAAGTGTCACCATTTTGGAAGTTGTGTTTAGGAGAGCAATGGAAAGCATTTGAAGACAAATTAATTTAGTGCCACAAAAGAAGAAACAGTTTTTATAGAAAAAAGGTTAGCGTGTCAATCCATAATTGACTTTAATTTAAAATCAAACAGTGTTTAGTATAAATAATTTTAGTCTGTCTGAGTTTTTTGATCTGATTGTCAGTAACCCATACCTTGAGATAAAATAATTATAAAGTTTAGTTTAATATAGCAATATTCTTAGAATTATGTTAATTATTTAACAACCTCTTATTTATTTTAGAAGTATTCCAACAGTATATAGTGATCTTTCGAGGTTATATTAATAGTTTAGAATATAAGAGGTATTACATTATAGTTTAATTTTTAAAAACTAATATAAATAAATAATAAATTTGTTAGGTATTATCTGCTTTAAAACATATTTCTGCAATATTTAATAGTCAAAACAACAAAAATATATTGACCTGAATTAAGGAATCTATTGCAAGGACAGGTTCTTTCTTCTGCTTCCTTTTCTGTCCAAAACTACCACGGAGACCTGTATCTGTGTTTTTTCCATCCAAGTGTCCAAACAATCCCCTGATACAATTTAAAACGCCAAGAATCATGAAAATATTTTGGTCCTCTTTTATAGGAATTACAGTTTCTGAAAAGAAAGAAATAACTTAACTTCATGCATGATGATAACTTTTAAAAACATAAATCAATAAAAATACATTACCAATACCTAATAATGTGTTTATTGTATGTACGATAAAAAGCTGAGATTTATGACAGTTCAAACAAACAGCTAAAATACTAGTAGCAGCAGTCCGTCGGAAGACAGCATTTTCATTTTCTATATTTTTCAAAAATACTTGAAGAAGTTCCTAAAACATAGTTTTTTTGTTTACATGTGTAAAACAAGCAAGTATTTGATATTAGCTGTGGTAAAAATTTGGGCAGTATAAAGCCTTCAAACTAAAGACACTTCCTATAAAGTAAGTCATATATACTTGTTTACCCAGTTGTGCATCATAGAGGCCAATCATTAAATCTCCAAACAAATAATGTTACTAGTTGAAAAATTTTGATCTACTGACAAATAAATAAAATTGTGTTATCTTTTAATAAAATATAAATTTATTGATGTTTCCTGAAAAACTTGAAAACAAAATTTAGTTTTTGTCACTTATACCTCTTATACTAGTTATTTATTTAACAACTTTTTTGAAAATGGTTAATAGTTAAGATTAAGGAATACATACACAAGAAGCTTATTAAATAAACTTTAAGGAAGTGACAAATCAATTTACCTTAACATCATTATCTGTCATGAAACAACCAAGAGTTACTAAAATTTTTGAAAGCGATGAAGCCAGTGTTTCCATGACCAATTCTTCTTTCCTCTGGGCTATTTTCAATATACAAGGCACCAAATTTTGGATATATACCTTTCTTTTGTTAGGTCTAAAAACAAATAAATCTGATGAATTTACAATATGTTAAACAAAGAAAAGATTTAAATTTCAATTATCCATAATAGTTTTTTACCTAATGGTGTGAGCTAATTCTGCAAATTTTACAAGCGCTGCTCTAAGAGATCTTGCTTTTCTATTCCTCTTTATCTCTACATGTAATTCTAAATTAACCTTACCTACATGTCCATCCATTAATGTCTAAAAATAAAAATTTAAATTTTAGTTATTGAAACTAAGGATAAATAATGTTGTAAATAGATCAGATAACAAAAAAAAAAATATATATATATATATATAATATGTTTTATAATATATATATATATATATATATATATATATATATATGTTTTGACTTGAATTATATATATATATATATATATATATATATATATATATATATATATATATTATAAAATGTGGAAATACATGGAAATCTGGTCACTACTTTATTCATACCATGTTTTGACAAAACTCAAGTCAAAACATAGTATGAATAAAGTAGTGACCAGATTTCCATGTATTTTCACATTTTATTCGCTTGCTTGTAAAAAACTTCAAAACTGGTTATCTTTCTGTTTCACTATTTGTGAAATAATATAATGAAATTTGATAATGAAAGAAATTACATTTTCTGCTGTTTTTGACCTAAATTGCACAATTTTGATTGTTTTTTTGTTTTGTTTTTTACATCAAATTCACTTTTTATGCTAGATTATATGATTTATAAAGATGTTCTGAATTCACAGAGAGAAAATTCATTACTGTACTTCTTTTTCTTAATCAATTCCTCTTCTACCGTATATCACTGTAGAGGATCCTGTTTATAGAGCCTCATCCATTTATCTTGCTTTTGCACCAACTGACTGCATCTATTCCATTTTATTCCTCTCCTATCGAAATCCTCTCTGACTGAACCTTCCCAGGTCCTTCTGGGCCTTCCTCTCGGTATTCTTCCTTCCACTTTTATTTCATACACAGTTTTGGTCATTCTTTTCTCGTGCATTATTTTGACATGGTCAAATCAGCATAGAGTTTTCCTTTATTGAATTTTCTGCTGGTTTATTCCCAAATTGTTTTTTATTGTTGTATTCCTGATTTTGTCCCTCTATTCTCCTCAGAAACCGTATTTCCATTGCTTGGATTTGGCTTTTATATTTTGACGTTAGAGCCCAGGATTCATTGCCGTAGATCAGTATGGGGATAAATGTATTTTTATACAACATTTTCTTGACATTTTTTGACACTTCTCTCTTTGCTCAGAAGCCTGTTTTTAATGAATAAAAGCATCCGCAGGCTTGTCTTATTCTTTCACTGATTTCGCCATCTATCCCGTTCTCGTTCAGATGGGATCCCAGATACTTAAAATATTTGACGTGCTCGAGTTCCTCCCTCTTCAATCGAAGTCTCGGTCTCCCCTCTCCTTCCCTCTCCCTATCATCATTATTTTTGTTTTGTGGCTATTTATTTCCATTTTAAACAGTTTTAGTTCTTCACATATCCAGTGAGTGACTATGGAAACCCACCCAGTGACTATGAAAATGGGTTGGGCACACTCTGAGGAAAAAAGATGGGGCAATAGAAAAAATAGCCCTACAATAGAACACTTAAGAAAGAAAGGCTGACCAAGATAGACGTGCAGGTCTGCAAAGAGGGAATTTGATTGGGTTGGCAAATTGTTAAATGAGATAAACGGAAAGAACTCGTGGATGTCCTATGCTCCGGTGGGAGTCAAAGGAATTAATACATAATTATAAAAAATCTAATATATAGAAAACAAAAATTAAAAATTTACTTACTCGAATAATTCTGTTCAAGCATTCATCAGCTACCATTCTTACATTTGAGTCAGAATCATCACAAAGGTAAAACAATGATTCCATCGCAAATGAAAGATGAGGAGTAAAATTAGTTGTTGCTCTAGTTTCAGGAGAACATAATAAATCCGCTAGTGAAATGGCCAGATTAACTTTCTCTTTGCTCCTGTCAAAATAATGATAATGATAATATAAGCTAAAAAAAAATAACTATAAACGTTAAAAAAATACAATAATCTAATCTTTTTATTAATGCTCTGGTTACTGAAGATGCTATAGTATGTTATGCATACATAAAGAATAATTAAATATAATAATACAATTGACATGGATCAACTTTTATAATTGGATTTGGGAATGTTCAAATAATTAAATTGATCCCGCACATACAATTTAGACAATAATAAGAAAATGAGAATTTCGAAGAGCCAAATTTTACAATAGACAGACTTAAGAAACTAAGACCCAATTTAATAAATTCAAATACAATATTGGCTTTAACTAGCTTTATAAAACCATTCAAATGTAAATACAAATTCAATGGAACAGGAAAGAAGAAAATACTGATCAGAACTTAACCTTAACAGTCTTGATACACTTAAATCACTCAATTTATTTAATTTTGTTTTGTTCGTTATTTTATTTAAGTATATTTTGTAATTAATAAGTACTGGTTTATAAAACAATTAATGTTTATATATAATAAACTTTCATAAGGAACACATTTTTTCAATGAAATAAAAAGAATTTTCCTTTTTGAATACTAAAACAGGTAAAACAGAATTAAAATTATATCCATTACAGATTAGGTGACTACAAAAAGTAGGTCCATAAATAACATTAAAAAGGAATATTTTCCTAACTCTCAATAAAATGAATGTGATATAAACTTTAAAATAAGTGTAGGAGATATTGTTTGCCATAGAGTGCTTTGTAGAAGTTGTAGATAACACAATAATAAGAAACCAACATCAATGAGTAAGGATTATAAATTAATCCGAGTAACAGTCAAGTCAATGCGGAAGACTAAATTACAAGTTTTTGTTTAACAATTATTTTGAGATGGATAATTAGTCAACTGATCAATTATTAGGATGAATAAAATTGTAAGGAGTTACAATCAAGAATTTTTAATAGGTTAGCAGACGTTTCAACCCAAACATGTGGGTCATCCTCAGGGCTATCTTTTGGGAGTCGGGACAAGAACTGAATTGTTTTTGGTTTATAATAACAAGTTCCTAAAAAGCACTGAGCTCATCAATACCATTAGAAATCCATCAGACTATTCAGAAACTCATTGATGGAATTCAGAATGTTCCTTTATTCATAATCGAAATACTGATAGCTCAGCTTTAATAGTTGATGGATCTACTGTATGTAACTTCAGTGTTGTGGCATTTCACAATTTACTTTATATATTTATGTTAAGTTAACTTTCTATCTACATGTATTTATTTCTGTTTTCAAATTCAACAATTCAGTAGGCAGGTATTTTCTTATATTTTTTTATTTTATAACCTTCTAAGTGTGTTAACCTTTTAATTGGATGGAATCCATAAGGTCATTCCTTAATTCAGTATAAATTGCTGTCTATCGCACCTGGATTCAATTAATTGATAAAATCAATCAATGGAATTGGCGCTGAGTTTAAAAACATGCCTATTTAATTTTTTTCGGTTCTACATTAAGTCTTTTGGGGCCTTGAGTTACATCTTTGGAGTAATTTCCATCTAAAGCAAAGGGCAAAAATAACACAAGTACCTATTTTAACATAAATTAGAAGTAATGGGAGTTGAGATAAATAAAATGAACATATACAGATTATTTTAAGTCGGAAGGAGACAGTTCACCTCAAAGCAATAAAATAATCAGTCAAAACATAGGAGATCTGCCTAAATATAATAACTACTTCAAAATTTTATACTAAAAAAAATGTATTCAAAATTTTATATTTAAAAAAAAATTGTTTTAATTTATCTATTATTAAGGAAAATCTTATAATTTTCAAAAGAATTTTATAGACAAAATTAAATTAATGTTGATTAGTTAATTTGTTCAAATTAAAATAAAACAATAAAATAAATTTACAAAAACACATTTATTTCAATTTTAGTGACGGATCTAGATCATTTACAACATCAAATAAATAAACTTAGGTGATAAAAAAAAGGTAAAATAAGTACATGATTAAATCTACAAATAAACATTTTTTTAAATACAATAGAAGTGTAAAAACAAAAGTTTAATTTGGAGTTTTATCTGATATGTATATATATATATATATATATATATATATGTATATATTTTGTTAAGCAAAACTGCAAGATCAAATAAATTTGAAACAATTAATCCTTATGTTCGATGAATGAAGATATAAATAATGTCCTACATTAACAATTCAGCTTAATATAATAAATTGATTAATAGGTAATAAATGAAACAAGAAAACATAGTGCTATATTTCTCTTGCATACTTAGCATAGTTTTCTTCTGGGATTTGATTCGTGTTGCGAAGAGTTTTGAGAGTCTCTAAGGCCTTGGATAGTTTTTCTAATGTAGCCATCGTGGGGTTACTTCAAACAGACATTACATTTTGAAGTTAAACACTAAAATTGAACGACACCACTATTTGGACATCAGTCAGCTGATAACGTCGTCATGGAGCATCGATAAGAAAAAAACCAACGAGGTAGAAAGGCTGAATGAAAATTAAGCGATACTTCTGAAATATGTGTTGGGTAAGGATAATTATTGAATCGCATGGACAATGTCGAGCTGTTAAATGTGAAAAAAACATGATTTCCTTATATAAATTTTAAATCACTGGCAGAGCTCGTAAAGGAACACACAAGAAGGAAACCTTAGAAGTTTAAGAATGAAAAGCATTGGCAATGCCGCACAACTCAATCTTCGTTAGGTTCGTTTTCGAATTGCCAATATAAAAATCTTCTTTTTTTTAACATTGAACAGTTTGAAATCATAGCGATGATATGATTTCGCGAGAAACCGTTTTAGAAAATTTAAATAGTAGTTATTCTTTTTTTTAAATAAGGCCTTGAAACGATCTTGTATTAAATATTACTCATTAATCTTACGTTTCAATGAGGTCCATTTTTATGAGATTCACAATTCAATTTAGTAGTACCCAGCACAGAGTTCCCCCTTCTATAAGGAGTGAGTGGTACGCGGTATCTGGAAAAATCATTATTCAAACAGTAGTAGTTTCCACTGATACGGACAAACATTAAAGCTGGTTAATTGGGGACAAAAATAACGCGAATTAATTCAGAACCACATTTAAATGAGAGTTGACTAAGAAAGAATATGTATTCAGTATGTTTTAAGAACAAAAATATGCAAATAAAAAGATCCGTTTTAGTCTACAATAGATAAATAATGTCAGGTATATCAATATAAATAATATTATATTATAATATTGTAGTATAATATAAATATTCATTTTATTTATAGTTTAAAAAGCACAGAAAGTGTTGGGTGCTGAGTGTATTTCTGCGAAAAGAATACAGTCACGTGTGTTCGGTAGAAACCAGGCAGAAACAGTAGTAAACATCCTCCCCCCTTTCACTAAAGATTGATCTATAACTTTGTTTACAAGTTTTCGGTGAGGTATGTTATATACATACATTCAAAGGGCAACGAGGAGAAACTTTCACCAAGTTTTATTGAAATCGGTTCATTCGTTTAGACGCTAAAGTCTAAACCAACACGGGTTTTTAGGGCACTAAGAAAAGTACAAATAGCATTTCGGGGTAGAAGGATCATACTTGGGTGACCATTGACTTTGATTCCAAATATGGAAAAAATCGTTTCAGTGGTCTCGGAGAAAAGCCGCGGCGGACGGCAGAGTGCATAGCGAAGAGCGGTATGGCCAAGCGGTCTAGCATGTGTGTTTAACTGTATCATTAATCCCCCACCATCACCCTCTGGCCCGGGAAATCCCCGTATAGCCCAACAGGTGAAGAAAAGGACAGCGTAGTGAGAATAGTCAAAATTTTTATTTGGTTTTCGTGTTCTACGTATTCTGAAACGTAAAAGCTCAAATTTTGAGTACAGGGGGTTAAGTGTTTGAATTTTTTGGTAGATTGCAATGGTTCATTATTGAAAATAATAAATCAAATTATAGAAGGTACGAAATATTATTAAAAAAAAATAATTACCATATGTTTTTCTTGCCGCCTAATATATTATATTTATGTTTTTAGTCAATTACCATTTCAAACCTTTTATGACTGTACATTGTAATTAATTATTTGATTATAATTAATAATTGTTACGAAATATTTTTAATCCGACAAGAGTACCACTGATTAAGAAGACCGCTATATTTATTTATAGATTAGTGTATCAATGAATATGTAAAGACGTGTAACACCAAAAAATAGTTTTAAAAAAATGTGACAAATATTTGATTTTTGACAAATGGTGCCACATCAAAAAAAGAAAGTAAAGATAAAGATTGCTCTGATGATGAGAAAATTGTCTCGAAACGTAAGAGACAAAAAATGTAATTTAAAAAATGTGAAGAAAATTGGAAGTATTATTGCCTTAAATATGAATAAATTATTTAATTTAATGAGAAATTAAAAACTGATGACAACTCATTTGCTTTCCGCACGAGTCGTAAGATAATGTTATCATAAGAATGGATAAAAAAAGGTCAAGATGGAGGCCACGCCAAACGGCCCAACATTTTTAGTAGGCCACATCTTTCCCGATTTCGTGATCAAATTATCTTAGAATTCAAGTGGTAAACAAATGGCTGTTAATGAATTTTTAGTACCTAAACAATTAGACAAAGTTTGTCGATCTCCAGATTTGACGTACCAATTCCGAGAATTTTCTTAAATAAAAATGTTTAGGTCACGATGAGATTAGACTATCCACGAAGTTTTAGGTGGGTGTTATAAATTTGATAAAAATTGATCTGTACCATGGAGTATTAATAATTCTTAGAAAAACAAAAATAATAAAAATTAAAGATGAGGAATACCATATCGCGTAACCCTTATCATTCCAAAAGGCAAGCAAATGTGATGTCCGATTGAGGGGACATGATCAAAGCATTCTCACCATGATTGTCTTCTTGTTAGGATTATTTGGGTGGGCTACGGTTTCTGCTGAGATACTAGACCTAAAGATTGGTGAGTTATCAAATTATGTTAAGATGACACGTTGTATCATGTTTTTAAAAAATAGAAGTGGTCACTATAATTTTTATAAACAACGTTGTCTGATTTCTTATACGTTGAATGTCTTCGTGTGTTATCGGTACATAGTTGATGTGATATATATTTAATTTTATTAAAGGAAGTTAGTCGACTGTTCTACATATCATGGGTAAAAAATAGTCATTATTGTAAATCCAAGGAAGAATAACAGACAACTACGTACTGAACTAAAAATGTTAATATTTTCTAGAAATGTTTTATTTTAGCAATTTATTTACTTTGTTCTTGTTTTATTTCGCAGGAGCTAACTGCACTGCACTTGGCGGGGGTCATGGTATTTGCAGGCTACTTACAAAGTGCGAAACCGTCGATGATTTTAAGGAAAAGCAACCCTCAATTTGCAGCTTTAAAGGAACGGAACCGATCATATGTTGTCCGACGAAGCAAACTTCTACCGTCAAGCCAGGTTACAAAGTGAAGAGATGTAAGAACTTTTTTTAGATATTGATTTCATCTGACTAGTATTTGAATGGCGACTTTTATACCGCCTTGGGCAGAGCGTACACCTGTTGCTTTTTTATCTACCATTCTAAGCGAGATTGGCTGTTATAGGTATAAAAACATATCCATTGGGTACTACTGATGTGGCATTGGGGCTGCTTTTATCTACAGATTTTTACTGCTATTCCTATCAAAGCGCTCGAATGTGAATATTATTAATTTAAACTTCAGCCAACTGTGTCCTAAGCCTTTCTCTAGATTCATCTTCTCTGGCTAATATCATTCGCTAATTATAAGTTATAAGTTTTTATTTATGTTTTACCCGTCTAGCTATGCTTCTTCTAAATGTCTTCCTTTGAATATCTCTTGTCACTTATTGATCTTCTTTTTTCAATCCTGCTACCATAGGCAGATCTTCCATCTTCTCCAGGAATTCCCATCCCCTCCATGATTAATGACGCATTCACCCATTCCTATCTCCCTAAGAAGTCTTATTGCTTTTTTTAAAAATTAGTTTAAGCAAAGAATTAGAAAAATTGTATCTCATGTGCAATTACACTTGCTGTGGTCTATTGCATGTTTTCTCTGGTTTGAAAGTTCCTTAAAATTGAAACCTCGCAAAAATGCGGTTCTCTTCTAAAATTCAAAATCCCGTAATTATGTAAACTTCTTATACTTTTAGGAGGGGCTTTTCCTTAAATTTCCCATTCGTGTCCGACTCCTAACTGGTATAGATGAATTCCAGCTTGTATTTTAAAATATTTATTTAATGAAAGTTTTTTCTGTTAATGCCTTGGCTCTTATTCTGTTCTGGTTTTTTGTCCTCTCCTTCCTACCCTTTCAGGCAATAAGGAGATTATCCAGACCTGGGGAGAGGGCGGGACATTAATACCAAAGTCAAAAGTCCATATGGCACTGGGACGCGGACTTGTAATTCATTTATCATGTTAGTTTCTGTTTTTCAGGTTCCCGGGCAACGCATGTTTTGCACATGCGTTAACTAGTGTTGCACAAAATCGGTCTTGGTCTTGCACTACGCAAGACCAAGACTAAGACCGCCTCACTGCTGCAAGACCAATACCAAGGCTGGTAAAAAAAAAATCGATGTTTTGAATAAAAATTAAGGCAAAATAGTTTCTAATGCTTGACAATTTTAGATACTATATGTAAAGAATTGGTATAACCAATATACTTTTGCATTTAACTCTTCTAATTTTTCATTCGTGCTTAGTTAGGTTTCTCATATCTCAAAATATAGAGTAATATCTCTATATTACTAAGCTAATAGGTAACTGCAAGACCATTGCGAGACTCTTGCGCAAGACCAAGACCTAGGCCAAAACTGAGTTTGCAAGACCAATACTCGTTTCGGTCTCGCATTTGGGCAACACTAGCGTTAATCCACTTGGCCACTCCGCCCCTGGTTCTTATCTTTATACTTAGACCGAGTTTGTCAAACATGGATTCAAAAGGGGCTCTTTGAGCGAATTGCTAATTACTTTCACTATTTCATGTCATTATTAGTTTAATACCTTATACATAATAATGACCCTTTATCAGTACAAAAAGTTCGCTGTAAAGACCACTGTTAATCAAATTATTAATACGTCCTTAACTTCGTGAATGACTGCATTTTATTGTATCCTACATTTTTTTTATTTACGGAACTTCACGTGGGGCTATTTCAATTTCAATCAGGAAATAGGTAACATTTGGTTATTTAATGAGGTACTAAAAACTCATCAACACTCATTTGCTTTTCACTTGAATTGTAAGCACAAAACCGAGAAAAAAGGTTGCCCTACAAAAATATTAGACCGTTCGGCCTATATAACATCTTTATTTTGGCATGTCGCGGGTGTAGGTCTCGCCA